CTATGCAGGGAGGATGAACTTCATCCTCCCCAATAACTTGGTTCAATAGAATTTCAACAAATGTCCAAAATTAAAAGTTAAAATTAGGATGGGTATTGCCCATCTATTCCGGTTTAACCCATTTTTTTCATTTTCTTTTTCCTTCTTGCTCTCACCTCTCTCTCCATCTCAAACCTTGATTCGCCGATTTCCTCCTTCCGCCTTCCTCCTCTCCCGGTGGTTGCCTCCATATTTCAACAGCAAGTTCACTGGTGAGATCGTTGAATGCACGCTGGTCAAAGAAGGTGGCGGCAAGATTATTGATTCAGATGGACCAATAATAAATTGACACATTTTATTTTAATTATCAAATTATAATTGGTAATCAAATCACCATATCTGATTTGATAAGGGAACTACCCACTATATTGAATAAGGAACCTACACACTATACTGAATTCGGTAATTAAATTGACATGTCCATTTATTATTGATTCACGTCAACAGATCTTACTAGTGTAAACCAATTTCTCAACAACAATGATGAGGAATACACAACTCTTTATCTAAATAAATAATAATAATACTAAATAAATAAATAAAAACAATGTAAAGAGCATCATACTCCTACATATTGCTCATTAGTAACAGTGCTTCATGAGAAGTTAGTTTTTGAATAAAAAATGGAATAGGAATGAGGAGGAGTGTAAGAGACTCTGAAAGTGAGGATGGTTAATTGGACGGACCTGAAGCTGACACCGAGCTTGACGACGGCCGCTCGTGCTGTCAGTGGGTGTCAGCGCCAGCCACGCACCTCCTCTTCACGCTACCTCTGCTACACCTGCTTTCTCATTCCAACTACACCAACACCCTTCACGATGTGGTCAAACCTTGTGGCTCCAACTCCATTACAATTCTCAATTTCCTTTTTTGGCCTTACCATGTCTCAATATAATGTCATCACTCATGAATGAATGCTCTCTACAACAATTGTGAATTGTGTTTGGATCTTAGTGTGTTTTGATATAAATTTTGAAGGGAGAGAGAGTGAGCGCTCTTGTTGGTAGCATTATTAATGAATTTAGGTCCAATTGATATCCAGGAATGGAATACGATAATTTTATTTCTTCTATTTCCTTGTTTGATATGATATGATATGATATTTAAAGTATGAATGATGGTATTTTTGGAATGAAAATTCAATTCATGCTAAGTAATGAAATTCTTGGTCACCATTATCGCCACCGCCTTCCACCATTAGCACAACCACAATCATAGCCTTTGCCACAGTTATCGCCACCGTCTTCTACCGCTACCGTTGCCACCATTGTCACCGCGTTCCACTACCGCTATCTTTCACCATCACCACTTAGAATGATGATTATTATTTCATTCACAGCTTTCAACAAGGTTAGTGTTTTTAGTGACTAAATTGAAAGGCTTATTAAATGACACGTGGACTTTTTGCATGTCTCAAAAAATTGTCTCAATCTCAATAACTTAATGATGGAAATCATGAAAATTGAAATAATTTAAGATGTGATTTTTTATTCTAGCACTAGTTGAAAATTCCATATATAAAGCTTACTATTATTATAATGAAGTGTATAAAAGTAGAATTGCATTGCCTTCTATTCATTCATTTCAATTAAATGTAACATTTTTGAAGGTAAACAACCTAATGTATGTGAATATTCTAATTATGTAAGAGCATCTCCAATGATTATGTATATATTTTTTTGTGTAAATCTGATGAGTCATAATAGATTTGCACAAAAAATTTAGATTATTTATTTTTAGTTCTCGCGGTTGTTTTATACATTTTGTATAAAAATATATCCTCCAATAATAGTCAACCAGTGTAATGCCTAGACCACACAAATTTTTTACAAAACTACTTAATGTAGGGTTGATTTGTTAATTGAATGAAAAAGAGGGAGGAGAAAGGAAATATACTGATGTGGCTGTGTAAAAAGGTTGTGTAAAATACACAACAATTTTATACATTGATGAAGTGGCTGTTTATTTTAACAGACTGCTCGAGACAAAAAAAAATTTACACATCACAAAAATAAAGAAAATTAAAGAAACATTCAAATATATATATATGTTATGTTTGGAAACATTGAATTAAAATTGGAGTAATATAAAATTTAAACTCTTTAATTTGAATTTTAAAGCACCAATTTGAAATTGGAGCACTTTAAAGTTTAAAATCTTTAATTTTAATTTAATTTCGCGAACACAATAATAATTTATAATAATTTGTACCCATTCATATATATAGGACAAAAGTAAAAATATGATATCATACCTTGTAACAAGTCCTCACAGCTCTTTAACTAAAAAAAAAAATGTCCTCACAGCTGATCTCATACATGTATATATAAAAAGAAAAAGAAATTGGTCAATAAATTAAATTTGAAAGTTAAAGTCAGACCACTAATTGCTAGTAGCTCGAGTAACGGCTTTAACTCTTGCATTTGCCTGGATCACGTGGTTAAGAGGTTAGTCACACGACCAACTCGTAATAATTATAATATATATGTTATTATTATTATAATTATTATTATTATGAAGACACAAGTTCAATAAGAAGCCATTCATCACTTTATGCATATGGACGGGTGACAAATTATTTGGTGATGGAACGACTTGAATACGGATACACTGGATGCGACGCTCTGTTAATTAAAGAACTGAATTTTAAATTCGTAATATTAATTCGTGTTTTGGAACGCAGTTATTATTGGACTCTATATACGTACATATTCCTATATATATTGTTTGTTTGATGATGATGACAACTCGAGACGTGAACGGAAATCGCTTTAGCATGAAGCTACTTCCCTTAGAAACTGGGAGGAAATCAATCCGTACTTCAATGGAAAGGAACAGATATTGATTGAGATAGGAGATACATATCATCATATCATCACCGGTGACGGAATATTCCGTTTCCGGATGCCGTTATCCTCTGTATGCACGTGCACATGAGTTGGACACTTACGTGGGAACATCTTAAAACTGGGAAAGATCCAACTGTCTCTGACGTCTTATCGGCAGATTTTTCATTTTCGTAGGCTGCAACTTTGACCCAAATTGATTGCCGTCTATTTAGTGGATGGTGTTCACCATTTCTACCGCTACTTTAACGGAAGAAAATTGTTTAAAAAAAAAAAAAAAATCAGGAAAATGTTATTTATTTATTTATATTTCTTATTACCTACTCAATAAATTATAAATACATACACTCACGCACAATTTGGTAGTGCAATTTAAATATGACTAAAAAGGGTAGGCTCCATCTGGTTTGGAAGAAAATAATGTCGGAAATTAACATTGGTGCCGCACGATTCCAGCACGCGCGTTGATGGAGTTTTGCGTGACAATAATCACTCCTGTACTTTGAACATGCCATATAAAATTACTCCTTAAAAATGAATATCAACTTAAAATAGATCTAGGACAATCTTAATCACAGACCCGTCCTAATTAGACTGAAATCCTAATTAATTGAAGGGAGGAGTCCTAATTAGCAAAATTTCTAAACTTAGTACAGTGATTATAACTATAATGGTCTTATGGTAGTAGAATTTCTTGTGGGATGACATTTTTGACTTTCCATTGTCAACCTTGGAAGCCAAAAAGGGACATGAGATTTAATCCATAATTAAAGAAATCTCAAAATGAACATTCATGAATGGGATAGCTAGAAATCAAGGATTGATTTAATAGTATTTTTCTTATTTTTAAAAGTTAAGAGTGTAAATTCGAGTCTCTAAAAGAATAAATAAAAATCTTAACAAAAATAAAAATAAAAAAAATAATTGGAGGAGGTATCAAATTTTTAGAGAGAGGCGCACGTGGGTCATGGGAAATTGGAGCGGACCCAAACAGCGGTGTCAGAATGGTCAGGGACAGTGTCTTAAGGCTCCTCTCTCTGAAATATAAATACAACGTACATACAATTATCAGTGTCTTAAGCTAGGAACGCTGTCACTCTTATTATACACTAATGTTAAATGTCCACTTTCTTACACGAACTTACGAGATGTCACGCTGTTATAATGGTAACAAACCGTTGCCGAGCCACTAATTTGAAACTCTCTTCTTTTACGGAAAAACTTATTTGTACCGTGCAATAAATATATTTAATTGTATATTATCAGGCGTATGTATTACATGAACGTTCGGAATGCCCCCTTTTCTGCTTCTTCACCAACACCGTCCAAAGCCAACAATACGTTAACCCCTAATTTGTAACTGTTCTTCTCCACCAACACCACCTCAAAGCCAGCTAGCTATTTTGAATTGTATTTTGTCTTGTGTAATTTATTTAGTCCAAATCAAGTGCACATACAATCTCTAACATAAGTGTTCTTTGTTTTCTTAAGAGAGTGAAACGCGCACACACACATATACATATATAAATATACAGATGTATACATAAACACCAAGGGTGAGAACATTAGTGATTAGCTATGATAGAAAATTACTTGCAGTGGTCAATAATTTTCACATATATGCGTATACACACACACACACAAAAACTTGATTTTATACTAATATTTAAAGACGAGTTGATGAGGAGGTCCATTATCATGTATGTTTCAAGTAGACATTAATGGACGTCTATGTTCAAACCAGAATTCAAGTGGGCAAGTAAGAATAGGAAAGAGAGAAGAGAAAGGGCCTAGAAGAGAAGATGAGAAGTAGAGGTTTGAACTAGCAAATAGCAAATGAAAGACAAGATGGTATATAATGGAGGGTCTTAGTCTTATTCATGAGAGAGAAAGAGAGAGAGAGAGAACGTGGGATGTTGGGGCCCGTGTGGGTGAGAGACAAAAGAGAGAGAAAGGAGGGGCCCCTCCCACCGCCCATGCGCACGCTGTCTAACCAAAACTAAACCAATCATCGATCCAATCCCTCCTCTCTCTCTCTTGACCTAACCCTAACCCAACACTAAAGACTACTTAAACAAACATAAAAGGATCACACCCCCCAAACCCTCACCTCTCTCTCTCTCTCTCTCTCATTTTTCATTTCTCCCAAACCCTCACCAACAGCAACAAAAAGCAAAACTGATCAACACCAAAGAAATATTACCCCTCACATGAGATTAGACCCAAAAAAATATGGCTAATTCAGCTGAAAATTTGGTTTGTGATTCCAAAAGGCCTTTCCAACTCTTTCATGGTGAAGTTTAGTAGCATTTGATTCATCAAAGCAAGCAAGGAAAGAAACCCATATCCAAGAAGCTCTCTTAGTTTATGCACACTTGAAGAAATTAGGGTTTGAGAAAGTAGAGAAATGGATCCAATTACAGCACATGGCCGTCCACTTCCACCTCCTTTTCACACCAGAGATCTTCAGCTACACCATCACCAATACCAGCACCACCAGCAGCAAAATTCAGAGAACGAACAAAGCGGAAGCATCGGCTTAAATCGGGCTCAGAAACGGGAAGATGACAACAGCACCAATAGCTCGGGCGGTGGTGAAGGCAAAGAATTAGCTCAGCTAACCGGATCAGACGGGGATCAGATCACAAGAAGGCCCCGAGGCCGACCTGCCGGCTCCAAGAACAAGCCGAAGCCGCCCATCATCATCACTCGTGACAGCGCAAACGCGCTCCGATCACACGTGATCGAAATCGCCAACGGCTGTGACATTCAAGAGAGTGTGTCCACCTTCGCGACGAGGCGGCAGAGAGGGGTTTGTATCTTGAGTGGAAATGGAACTGTCACCAATGTTACCCTAAGGCAGCCGGCCTCTCCCGGAGCAGTTGTCACCTTACATGGAAGATTCGAAATTCTCTCCCTCTCCGGGTCCTTTTTACCACCTCCGGCGCCGCCTGCTGCCTCCGGATTGACCATTTATTTAGCTGGCGGTCAAGGCCAAGTGGTCGGTGGTAGCGTTGTTGGTCCTCTTGTTGCTTCCGGTCCTGTGGTCATTATGGCGGCGTCCTTCGGAAATGCGGCCTATGAGAGGCTTCCGCTAGAGGATGAGGAGGCGCAGGTTCCGGTTCCGGGAAGCGGCAGCCTTGGGTCACCGGGAGTGGTTGGCCAACAGCAACAGCAGCAACAACAGCTTATGAGTGATCCTAACTCGTCTCTACTTCATGGGTTACCTCCTAATCTTCTAAATTCATGCCAATTACCAGCTGAGGCTTATTGGGGCACAGGTCGGCCTCCTTTCTAACAAGGAACTGTTTTTTTTCTTGGAACTTGATTTCACTTGTCTTCCTAGTGATCTTACTACATTCTTCTTCTTCTTATTGGTTTATAAGATAGTTGTGTTTTGAGATGTTAATTAATCTGGTTATTAATTAGCTAGCTAGTGTGCCTTAGCTTTGAAAGAAGAAGAAGGAATGTACAAATTCATGAAGTAGTACTTGTTGGTGGATTTGATTTTGTCAGCATAGCTCTTGCAAGTCACTCCATGTGATAAAAGCTAGGATTGCAATCTCTCTTTCTCTCTCTCTTCATCATTTTCTGTTGCACCTCTGGTAACTTGTCTGATAATTGTTCTTTCACTCTGAAGAAAAAAAGCTACCACTTTTCAATTAAGCCTCTTTTTCTGTTCTCTCTATATATACATACATATATATATGTATATGTGTGTGTGTGTGTGTGTGTGTCTTCATTTTTAGTTGTAGCTCTGGTCATGACTTGTCTGATAATAAATTGTTCATTCACTCTCAAGAAGAAAAAAACGAAAAAAGGCACCATTTTTTTAGGACTCTTTTTCTGTACATGTATAATTGTTTGTGTACTTATGTTTGCTGTACTGGTAAATCATTAAAGCCCCTAAAAAAACAATTGAAAACAACCTTAAAAAGACATGTTTTAGGAAACCCACAATATATTTTGGATTTATATATAGATTTTCCACTTATATATTTATACACCCATTTAATTCTTTTTTTAGAAGGGCTTATATAGATTTTCCACTTATACTATACACCCATTTAATTCTTTTTTTAGAAGGCTTTCACTAGTACTATTTCTATCTGGTTTATGATACTCACATAAAGAAAACTACACATAAAATTAACTTATTACTCCTATTCCCACACCACCCATCATCAATCTCACCCTTTTTCTTCACATACTCTCTCATAATTAATCACAATAATAATAATTAACTACTATTAATATTGTCATGTTAATTACTAGCTATGGTGTTAAGTAGAGGACTTACATTTGAGTGAGGTGTGATGGTTCTCGAGGTTGGGACATCTTTTTTAACATGCAAATGGGTGATGAATAGAGAGGTATGGGCACTACTCTTTTCTTTTCTTTTTTTGACTGTCTTCTTTTTTAGGGTTTTATTATGATGTGATGAGACTCGACATAAATATTGGGTACTGGGTTACACGTGCAATGCTCTGAACAAGCTCTTTTCGAGGCAACACCCAACCCAACAGTACACTACTTCCATATAAAGGCAACAACAGCAACAACCCACCGGGGACAAACAGACTCGAGCGTTAAAGTTCCTCTCTCTCTATCTCTCTTCCTCTCTCACACACTCGCACACACACAACTGTTATGACAGAGAAGTAAAAGCTAGCGTGGGGGGATCAACCAGTGAGGTGAGTTACCAGTTCGTCTGGATTCAGAGATGGGTTGCTAGCTCTTTTAAACCTAGGTCTGGTTCACTGCATCGAATAAACAAAGCCCACCCCCACCATATCAGCATATATTTGCTTCCTCTCTCTCTCTCATCAAATATATATCCACAGGTAAACCGTTTCTTCTCCTTTTAGTAAAAGGTCACATTTTTCTATTTTGGTAGGCCTGGCTCAGACTTTTGTTGCTTGTAGGTTCTGTTAGATCTTTTTTTTTTTGCTGTGGATCATACATATATATATGTGTGTGTGTGTGTGTGCACACACACACACACTATATATATATATATATGTGTGTGCCCGGATTCTCTGCTGTAATTTTTGGTGCTATAAGGTTTTTATAATATTTAATTTCAAACACATTTATATGTACTTATTTTAGCCATATTTAATGTTGAAAAACAGATATAATGTATTAAAAATCAGTGTTTTGAAAATTAGGAGGGATTATTTTAGCTATGCAATTCACTGTTTTGAAAAGTTGGAAGATTACAGGAGATGAATCGAGCTCATATATATTAATATATATATATAGTACGTACGTTAATTTCTTTAATTCCTTTCTCTTTATTCATTTTTTACTGTATATATATACTTATTAATTAATTTATTGGATAGGGTTCTAAAGTCTTGTCCATTATATATATGTTCTTTATATATATTTTCATGTACATGCTAGAATTTCTCTATTAAATCTCAAGAAATATTATTTGTTTCTTATTCATTAATCTCCTGCCAAAAATTGGTTTATTCTCTGGCTGTACTCCACTCAGCAATTTCTACTGACTACTGTCATATATTTTCAAACCCTGTAGTTAGGAAAGAGTTTTTAAAAAAATTAGGTATCAGTCAATGTCATAGATATGGTAATTAGCTTGAAGGGTGATTAATATACCAGTATGTTTATAGTTTCAATTCCATTGTGGCGGCGAAGGCAATCAAGATCATGAACATTACAATATTCTTAAGTTCAATTAAAGTAACATTGATGTGCAAGACACTAAGAATCTATGCCTTGTATGTACATACTTTTTAATTTTTCCTTCTTAATGTCTTCTTTATTGAAAGAGCTAGCTAGATACCAAGATTATTACTTTAATCTATCCTTTTCTCTTTGCATTGTTTTCGAGTATTCCTTCATCCTTAATTCCTTCCAATGGCGTGGGGTTGTGATTTGGTGTTTACAACCTTATGACGTCCCACATTGATGAAAAAATCAAAAAATCAATATATATATATATGTGTGTGTGTGTGTGTTGTCCTTTTACTAATATTTTCTATGGTAAACTTTGTGGGCTTTGTAGCTTGTAGCAGGAATATTATAAATTATAATATTGCCCTTAATTCTACACTCTTTTTTTCCCCCTAGAAATCCCTATTGAATATATAACAGTGAAGACATGCTAGAAATTCTTTATTACTTAAAAATCTCTATTATATATGCTACCAATTCCATCATCTTTTGGGTTAATTAAGAGCAGTACAATATTGTTCATGTCATTCCAGTACTATTTTGATTGTATGTTTGCGTGTGGGATGGTGGCGTACCACTTATAATGACTCCTTGAGTAGTGTACGGAGCAGTATAACCTCCTATTCTCAAAGATGAGAGGGATTCAAGCGGGTAAAAGGGAGTGTGTGTTTGCTTTACCATTCGAAGAAAAAAAAAAAAAAAAAAGGCGTATATGAAGCACTTTCTTTAAGTGTGTGAATTGCATGTGAACTAAGCTTAAGGATAGTGCAATTAATGTCTACATATACTGGATAATGATATTGACTCTTTGAGTTTGAAGTTAGGTTGCTGTAACCATCACACTCAACATGTAAGTGCCTTTAGATGCTTTATAGACTATAGTACTAATTGTACTTTAATTAACAAAGATAGCAATCGACCAAACTTTGTTTACATCAGAACACATTTGGTATCCTCTTTTTTTTTTTTTTTTACATATATTAATTTGTGGGGAAAATCCATTAAAACAGTATATCATGCATGTTGGGTGTTTTTCTTAGATCGATCTTTTTTAAAAAGAAATTCCTTATTATGATAGAAATTGATCGGAAACTAGCTTGTCCATCAATGCTAAAGTTTATGGTTGTGATTGCAAATGTACTATTAGAATATTTATATATTACGTCAGTGAATAATTTGTACAATATGATCATGCATGATACATCAGACAAGGTTGCTATATTAGATCATACATATGGTCATTCCAATTATGAGATCGAAAAGGAAGCTAGCTTTTAAGAAGTGTAATATTGTCACCATATGTGTTGGTAGTAATCATCAGTAATTAATCATATGACAGCTGAGGTTTAATTTTCTTCCCTGAACCATATTTCCACAGAGCATTTACACAAAATCTTTCATGATGGTTACTTGGACTAGAAGATTTATAATATCGAATATAAAAGACGACTTGGTGATTTTTTTTTTTTTTAGGTAAAAGGGTAAGCTTTGAATAAATAAAAATAAGAATGTACAGGAGGTCCAACTAGGGACATTACAAGCAAAGGCCAAATCTAGTTGGACCTCCTTTCTGATGTTATTTGGTGATGATGCAGCATTTTGAATTTCTATGGATAAGTAGTCTATCCAAGAGCCAACCTTTTTCTTTTCCGACTAAAGGGCAAGTTTTGTATAAATAAAAAGAGGATGTGTACAAACGAGAGGCACAAACGATTAATGCCGATTTTCATTGTCATGCAAGAGCAGTGTCAGTGATCTGTACATAGTGAAGCTAATCTATATCTTAGAACTAGTGTCATTGTTTAGTTGAATATTGATCGAGTGTGTAAGGGAGCATTTGCCTTCGAATTAAGGCGCTTGAATTCCAATCCATCCACAAATGATATCGATAGGCAGCTGCGCAGATTGAGAGAATTAGCTTGTGAACTAGAAACTCCTTTCTGCTGCGCCTGCGCGCGCGCAATTCGAGTGGGACAACTAGGTATTTCCATGTGTCTGCAGGCATGAACAAGGCTATGTTTCGACAATGATGGAGTTCAAATTTGAGTTGAGAAGGGGACAATGAAAACGAGATGATTAATAGACTGAGGGACTGTCTTGAGGCTAGCTAGCCATAGAATGAAGCTAAACCTAGGAATGTACAAAATATATATATATAGGTGTGACCAATGAACAAATTAAAGAGGGGAAGGAGGTGATAAATAGGAAACAGCTATACTGTGGGAGAAACAGAAAGAAATAAGAATGTGATAATGGAGAAGGCAACCAACTCATTAATTTGATCATTGCGTCCAAGCCACAGCCCATTACTCTTCTTCTTCTTCTCACATATCTGTCTAGTAAGCCTTACACATGTTAAGCCACTAAACCTTTTCTTTCTTTTGAGTTTTGAATGGTCCTATTAAATTGTTCAGAATAAGATTAGGTTATATGCATATGTGTGTGTGTCTGTGTGTGTATATATATATATATTGATTCATATAAAAGGTTTGTGCATGTCTTTTGCCAATATATATATAGTAATATTTACAGTGGGCACATGTAGCAATGGGTTAGCATGGCGCATATTAGCAATACAAATAATATACAAACATAGCATTATTCAATTAAGTGTTAAATGATTGAATAATATAATTCAGTACAATGGATTAAGAGTTTATTCAAGAATTTAAATATCACTCAAAATAGTAAGCACCGTTTAAAATGAAATATAATTTTAAATAATTAGGACATCACTTATCAAATAAATATAAAAAATTATTCTTTAATAAAAGTTTAAAATCTTTAACTCTTAAAATTTTCAGTAGTTAATTTATTTAGTTTTACCATAGTATCTTTTAGTTTCAATTTTCTTGTTTTTGTTCTTATTTTCGCTTTTTTGTTTTTTACCCGATATGTAGATGTGATTTATAGGGAAAGAACTGTATGAAAGAAGCGAAGGCCCAAGCCCAAACAAAGCCTAAAGGCCCACCAATCCATCAATCTTGGAAAAAGCACAAGACCAACCGCTAAGGTAGAAGATGGGCCCAGCAAACTAGTACCAATGGGCCATTAGCCCAATGGTATATAACTTTTACTGTTTCGTTTCGGTTGAATCACAAAATTTGGGCGTTCAAGAGCTACAGTGCGAGCAGCTTGAGGAATTCGTTTTCCAGTTCCGCATTCAATCCCAATTGTGCCGACAAGTACGACAGGTTTATTCTGATTATTTATTGATTTATTTGTCTTGATGTTCATCGCATTGGTTTGTTTTCCATTGTCTCTGTTTGGTTGCCATGAAAATCGAGCAAAGCTAAAGGAAAAGTTGATTTTATTCTTTTCATTTTCTTAGATTAAATGTATAGGTAAATCTTCTATTTTCTTACATATTTATCTAATTCTAAACCTGTTAGTGGAAATTATGCTTTTCAAACGTTTTTATTCTAGTTTATTTTTTATTATGTTATAGATCATTTAATTATTGTGTATATTGGATGTTCTGCATAAAGTTTCAGGCTTTTTCACAAGTTAAAATACTAGGTAAATGCTGGAAAGTGTGAAGCAAATAAATGCATTGTAATAAATCACTATTTCTTATCTCCAATGCTTTGTTTTGAAGTTAAAAAAAGCTCTTCTGGATTAATTGCTCGTGCTAGTCATAGGACTTACCAGTTTTTTTTTTTTTTTTGTAGGACTTCCTTCTTTTAACAATATATATATATATATATATACACACACACACACACAAATATTTTACTTCAAAGAGACAGATTAAATTATTGGCTAAATTTGGCCTTTTGGAATTGGTAATACAAGTTCAGTCTAAGATTTGATAATAACGCAAAATACGCTGTTGCATTTACTTGAAACCCTAGAAATTTAAACACAAGAGATGCTAAAGGTTCTCTTAGTACATAGCAGGACTGATCATATGTAATGTAGTGTTGCCCCACTCCACCAGAACTAAAACCGTTTCTTTTTATGTGGTAGATACATTTGGGAAGTACCTATCCATGTTTATGAGTCTTAGAATGTGGTAGCTATCAGGTAGCTTGCAACTTTTGCCTTCTTTTTTATTTATTTATTTTTATCTATTTTTCTTTTTCTTTTTTTCATTTGTGGTGTAAGCCCCACTTCGGTGGATTGATTTGTGTGCTCAATTACTATGAAAAAGTGAATGGAAAATATTTCAAAAGATTTTCTGCCTCTCAATAGTTTGTTCAAATGCTTGTGTCCAGAATTCATTTGAGCACTTCAAAAGTTTTTTTGTATGTAATATTCAATAGCATCTACAGTAGTTCAAATATGGTTTTTATTTTTTTTTCTTTTTTGCAGATTGTATTTCAACTTATTACAGTCTTTGTGATTTCACTTTCCTTGCTATCTCCTTATCCACAGAAAAATTATAAAAAAGTTGCTGTCATGTTCCAGTGCATAAATGTTGAAAATTCCACATTTACTTGTGCCTTCGATTGAGTGGCTTTGTCATGAGCCAAACTCAATTGGATTAAACATAGCTCTGGTTCTGCTTGGAGCCGCCTGATCAGTTCTCTGGCAAAGTACAATCTGTAAAATGAGTGAAGAAAAATTGGCGAAAATGGTGTTCCTCGATGATGATGACTTCATTTTGTGAATCAGTATTAATTGGTGGTCTATGATCAAGAGCTTGATTTGTTTATTATTGCTAGTTTGTTTTTTACCTTATTCTGAAACAGTGAATACTGTTTCTTAAATGTATATCTTTGTGTGTGCTAAATTGTTGAGATAAAAACTTCTACATCATTTTACTATTGACATGAATATCAGCATTCCTTGGACAAGAAATATATAGCGCTTTATGTTTCTTGGGTTGCATATTACACAATGCTAGCTTTCGTTTGGTAATTTTGTCTTTGTATCAAGTGATGGATTTGCAATTTCATAAATGCCTTCTAAATGGTGGCAGTAGAACCAAAGTCAACCACAATGGGCTCATTCAATTTCAATTGTCTTGCAACTCCTTCATGCACATATGCAGATGCAATCAGCAAATACATTGTTGATTGTTGATCTAACATAGCACCGAAACAGTATGTTGCAGATTTTGGCTGGTATTGGTGTGTCCTGCAATTAGTTATTCAGCATTTCTAATGGGCTCTTTTCAAAATAGCTATCTGTAGCTTTTTGCAAGTAATCTTCTTTCTGTGGACAGCATCTCAGTGAAGAACATGAAAGTGGCTCAGCTATATGCCTTTCAACATTGATTCTTTTATTTTCGGGCGTGCACAGATGGAAAATGAAGATTCTTTCATTATCTTGAAGACCCTTTCACCGTCAAGCCTCAAAGGCGTATTTAACAGGTAAGATTTAGTGTTTAGTTGAAATTTGATGTTAAAAATTTTGAACTGCAGCTTGCAACTTTATCTTTTCAATAGAATCTATGGGTGTTTACATAGCAGTGTGTCTGATCAATGCAAAGTATATACTATCTCATTCTAGAAATAATATAGGCTGGCTTACTGATTTCAGAGCACTGCTGCCTAAGCATACATCAAGGGATATATCTATTGGTGGATTCGGTTTCACATGTTTTTAGATTTCATTTATCGTGGCATTCTAATGAAGCATGATGGTGGTTAAAAGGAAAAATGATGTGTGTGACAGATTGAGTCACCTCTTTTAATGATAAAGTAGAATGTCCTTAGCATTTACCAGTCACCTACCTCTGCTAGAGCATGAAATTCAGAAACAAATTATTATTAGTAGTAGTATTTTGGTAGATAAGTCATACATAAGTGTGTATTATTAATGATCTCACTGGGGACTCGAACCCTGGAACTTGCATGCATTTATAAAGAAGGGATAGAAGGGATATACTACGTAGCTTAAGCCCTTGGTAGAAACAGATTATTCTAATCTAATTCATAATTCTACTTTATCTGAAGACCCCAACAGGTGCCCTCAATTACACACTAACACGACCCGATAACACAATATATAACCATTAAAAATTATTTATCAATATCAAATTTCAATTATTAGTCATGAAAACCATAAAACCCCCTTATTTATCCCGTTAATTAAAGTATTTCAACAAACTCGATCAAACAAAAACTAAAAAGAGAAGCTAAGACTTCTGTCAAGAAGAAGAAATAATAGGACTATATCTTCTTCTTCTGCATAGTTACATATATTGCTATTAGCGTTTGTTGTTGTTGCTATGAGGCATTTGGTTATGAGGATAAGATAGCTTTTGGAACTGAGATAGCAAGACTCTGTTCTCTTGGTGAAGAAGAACAGCTTTCTTTCTCAGCTTCTCGTTCTCTTTAATGATGCTTTGGTTCTCCATGTATAGCTTCAAGTTCTTGATTTCCATCTCTCTCCTCAACACCCCTACCCTTGCCTTCTCTTTTGCTTCCTTGGACAATCTTCTCCTCCTGTTATATTAGAAACTATTGTTAGAAATAACACACACATATATATAGAGAGAGAGAGATTGCAAGAAACTGACCTGTTTAGCCGGTGAACTCGAATTTTAGGTCTCTTTGATGGCTGTTGCCGGAGAACGGTGGAACATGACGACGGATATGGATTCAACTCTGAGGGATTTGTGCACATTTTTCCCTTTAAATTTCAATATTTTTGGGAGTGGGAGAGAGAGAGATTTTGGACAGTGGGTAAGAGAGAGAAATGATAGAATTTGAGAGGGATTATAGGTTGTGGGTAAGAGATGGATGAGTAGAAAATGAGAAAACTATGAGTTATATATAGCTGGGTAGTTGTGCTCATAACTTCATATGTGTGCATGAGAGAGAGAGAGAGAGAGAGAGAGAGAGAGGCTTTACATAGCAATGATGGCATGAAGACTCATGATTTCAAAGACCAACAAGTAGCCAGCCCCGTTCCAAGAAGAAGAAGATGAGGAAAGAGAGTTCTCATTCTCTTTTTGGACTTTTACATTACTTTCTCACCCCAAGACTCTTAAGATGCATGGATAGGCACAAAGTAGTACTCGACCAAAACGCCTCGCAACTTGAAATTTCCTTTTGAATTTAAGATCATTCTCATTTCGTTTTCATTACCGTTTGTGGTCTTGTATGATACCCTAGACTCCCTAGTAATTTGCTATATATATATATATATATATACTGGAACAATAGTCATGTGAAGTAATGAAATGTTATCATTGTGTTTGAATACAACTTAATTGATGTTACCTTCAAACTGTAGGCAAGGTATATACGTACTTTCTAAGGTCGAAAAGAGGAAACGAACTTGATTAGGGTCACTATTTGGTGCATGTAGTCGTAAAAGGATTGGTTGCAGTGCGACAAGTCACATTCTGAGTCTAAAGCTAACCCTCACTTGTCAAAATTCATTAAAGTACATTGCTCCCTCCATCCTTTACGCACTGATAAATTACCTTTTCAAGTTGGACTGGTGTCATGGGTTCCAATCCTACCTCGGATCCGAATACGCTTATACAAGAGGGTAGACAGTGTGACCTAATAGTTAGTTTAAGTTTTTTAATCGGATAACAAACGCCTGACCCATTATCAGTGGTATCAAAATAAACTCAATCTTTGATCCGGTGTAACATTTGTGCCCACGTGGATGACTGTAAGTGGTATCAAAATAGGCACAAAATCAATGTAACGTTTGGGGCCGTTGGGGTGGACGGCAACGTTTGTGATATATTATAATATTATAAATTAATTTAAAACTCACAAACTAGTTTAACCAAATACCGGAATAGAAATAATCATAGCATTTCATCGTAACCAAACAATGGGATTCTTAATACGACAATTCCATTATTGCACCATTTGTTCGCATACTATTTTCATTTTATTCATGCCCCCCAAAAATAGTCGATCTAATTTTTTTTTTTTTTTTTTTCCCCTTGAAGTTAATTAATTTGAAGATGCATATGATATTTTACTATGAGTAAGGTATTCATGTCGTGAAGGGGTTGTCAAGAGTACTTTCAAATAAAATTATAAGAGATAATCAATCAAATTTAATAAAAAGAAAGAGAATACAAAGTTTTGACATGGTCTACTCTTTAATAAATTGGGTAAATTTTACTTATCACTGGTTGTAATCATTTCACATAGACCCCTTCTGCGTTTTATAATCCTACTTACCTCTCTTGAAGTTTTAGTTTATGTATCAGATTTCTCTTGTCATTAGACACATAACGGAGATAAACAGAATCTATTAATATCAGTAGCAAAAAATTGATAGAAGGTTAATTTTGTCCTTCTAATACCTGGAGGGGTCATATCATTTGCTCGTATCAAAATGGCCATGTCAAAAGTACCTTCGAATAAAATTATACGAGATAATCAACCAAATTTAATCAAAAGAAAGAGAATTCAAAGTTTTGACATGGTCTACTCTTAATAAATTGGATTTATTTTATACTTATTTCCACCCAAGGTTTGTAATTATTTCACATAGACCCCTTCTACGTTTTATAATCATACTTACCTCCCTTGAAGTTTTAGTTTATGTACCAGATTTCTCCTGCCTAACGAATATAAATAGTATCTATTGATTTCAACAACAAAAAATTAATAGAATATTAGTTTTGTCCTTCCAATACCTGAAATAATAACAAATATTTTATGGACAAAATGTAAAATAACACATTACCGTTATCAAGTTTGATAGTTGTTATTAATAAAGGAGCTATATTATGAATCGCTGAAGGAATCTATGTGAAATATTGACAAACTTCACAGAAATTAAATAAATTTTGATACAAAACTAAAACTGTATAATCTTTGGTAGATGTATGATTCAAAATTTAACATAACCAGGTCAAAAAGCAGCAGCTCATGGGTGTTCTAACGCTGTCCGCGTTATTATAGTTGGATAGGCAAGCATACAAAATTTGACCATCTAAATTTATTTCAACGTGGGAGTTATATGCGTAGGTTATTTAAATTTAATACTATGAAAAAGTGAAGGAACCAAAAGTTACCATTGTTGTAATTACTTTGTGGTGGGTGACGGAAGGTTGGAGGAGTCAATGTGGTTAGGTTTCTTCTTTTGTCCCTTGCTCCATGTAATCGAGTAGCAGAGCTGTCCTCTTTAATTTGGAAAATGAAACGCCCATTTTGGCTTCATCTTCTTTCTCCATCATCATCACCACCATTCCTCCCCCCCCTCTCTCTCTCTCACACACACACACACAGTCAATATAGATACACACACGCTAACGGTGTAATGATGAAGATGGTGATATTTCTTCAATTTCATGTGATCACACATGGTTTCTTAATTGGCCGGTTGAAATTAGCTATGTGCTACATTGTAAATTGAGGAATATTTCTCAATTTTTGGATGGAAATTAATCAATATAAGGTTGAACTATGTTTATGAGTCATGATGGTGGTACCACTAAGAGCAGGTCCACTACACTTCACCGATTTTTTTTGGAATTATTACTAGTGACTTAACACAATTTAACTATATTATTTAAGTAAATAAATGGATATGTGAGTGAATTTTTTTATTAATGCTCCGAGAAGGGAAAAAAAAATGAAAAAGAAAATGAAAGGAACTGGCAACCTTCAATCGTTTCTTCCATTGATTTCGTTTTTAGCTATTTCTTATTTTATGAATTCAAGGAGTGCTGAGGGGAATTTTGTTCGTATTCATTTATTTATCTTTTTCGTATTTTCTAGATACTCTATGGATTTGATTTTTTATGGGAATTTATTCACTTTTTTTTTTTATTGTCGTAAAGAATCTCTCTCCCATGGGTGTTTCACAGTATTGTTTGAATCTCTTGAAGCACCTTTGTCCGTTTTGGCAGCATATAGAGAAATTATTACATAATTTTGGCCAATCATAACTCGAAACGTAAGTAAAAAATAAGTAAATGTGACATGTTTACTTGCGTGTCAAGTTATAATTGGCTAGAATCATGTAGTTAGGTTAGAACTGCACATCAACCGCCAAATCCAATACTTAGTAAGGGTGGCAATTGGGTGAGTTTTGAATGGGTTAGGTATGAATGAGTCTCAACCCATTACAGGTTATAAATGGGAAATGACTTAAATGAGCAGGTTAGAAACGGGTCAACCTGTTCTAACCAGTTTTTTTTTTTCTTTTCCAATTGTTTTTTTTTTCCCCTTCTTTGACTACCATATTAAATTGAAAAAGACAAAGATTCACTTAATTTGATAAAATAGTAAAAATATTTATTTATTTAATAATAATAGGAATAAAAATATGATAGTGATTTACCTATAAAGATATATAAATGTGTGTGTGTCCTTTTTGTATACAATAGCATGGGTTTTAATTGAGATTTTTTAAAAAAAAATTATTTAATTTTTTTTTGCACTAATTGATGTTATTAAAAACTAAGAATAGTAAAATGGTGAAAGGAAATGTATTATTAATCTCACAAATTTGACAAACATTTTTTTTTTTTTAAGAGTATAAAGGCCATTAGAGTTCTCACTTCATGAAATTCATGGCTTAATTAAGCCTAATATCAATACTCCATTCGATAATTAGATCATATTTGGTATTTGTTATATATATGTGTTTGTGGAGCCTACAATCTTAAGTCATCCATGATGACATTGTTGGCTTACGGAGAAAGCTCAATTCTTGCTTACAGTGAAAGCCTTATTATAACTTGTTTGGGAAGCTACAATTTTGAGCTTATAAATACACGTGTATATACTGCTTGTAAGGACACACTTGAATGAAAAGCTTTTCATTCTCTCTCTCTCTCTGTGAAAGATTTATTTCTCTGAATATTACTCTATATATACATATATATTCATTACACGTTATCAGCACGAGACTCTATCAACTGAGAAGAAAATTCTATTTTTCATTCTCATTTCAAAGGATAAGAAAAATAATTATTTATATTAAACTGTTGTTCAAATTTTACATATAATTAAAATTGTTGAGCCTGTAATCTCGCAAATACTTATGTATTTATGTATATTAGAATATTTTTATCCATTCTTTATAGAAAAGTAAATTGCTGAGCCCAAAGTCTCGCAAATACTAAATTATTTATATTTAATTGGCAAATTCGAAGTTTTGCATATATTAATATACTCTTTGTGAGCCTGAAGTTTCACGAATATTTGGTACAGTATATTTACTAACAATTCATATTATATTTGCTAAATATCTAGTTACAATCTTTTACATGTTACTTCATGTACATTACTGTACATATAAATTGGCTTACATTTGAGTACGTAAAAGAAAAAAAAAAAATTACCACAAGATTCGAATCGTGGCTTTTTAATGCGCAAGTTGAGTTAACGAGCCACCAAGCCGCTTGTTCCATTGTGATTATAAATTGACTATTATTTATATATATGGTATCACCATTATGCAAATCATATTATAGTAACTGCAGTATTTTTATAATCTCAAATTGACTACTCTTTTTGTGAAATAATTTAACTATGTTATTTTATCATTTATAATTCATAATATCAAATATTACCAAGCTTGAATTTGTGGCACTTGATATCTCGGGCAAAAACTACTTGTCATGGATCCTTGACGCCGAGATCCACTTGGATGCCATGAATCTCGGAGAGACAATTAAGGAAGAAAATAATGCGTCCCTGCAAGACCGCGCGAAAATTATGATCTTTCTTCGCCATCACCTCCATGAGGAATTAAAAACAAAGTACCTCACGGTTAAGGATCCACTTACACTGTAGAAAAATTTGAAAGAACGATATGATCATCAGAAAACTGTGATCCTTCCAAAAGCTCGCTATGACTGGATCCACCTGCGATTGTAGGATTTTAAAAGTGTAAGTGAGTACCATTCAGCCTTGTTTAAAATTAACTTACAATTAAAATTATGTGAAGAAAAAATTACTGATGATGATATGTTAGAAAAAACATACTCCACATTTCATGCCTCAAATGTGCTCCTACAGCAACAATATAGAGGCGCAGATTTACCAAATATTTTTGAGCTGTTTCTTGTTTGTTGGTGGCTGAACAGAATAATGAACTTTTAATGAAAAAATACTAGTCTCATCCAACTGGATCTGTACCATTCCCAGAAGCAAATGTGTCCTCATTTCACGACCATGGCCGTGGATATGGTCGCAATTAAAATAATTATAATAATCGTGGTAGTCATAATTCCTCATTGATTCCCAGAAGGAACTCCACACCGTCCCACCAAAAGTGGAATTCAAATGCCCCTAAGCAAGCAAAAGGAAAAGCTTTGCAGAACAAAGCTCCTAAGATATATGATGAGAAGCCTTGCTATAGATGTGAAATGAAAGATCATTGGTCGCGTACCTGTTGTACACCCAAACATCTAGCTGATCTTTACTGTGCTTCAATGAATGATAAGGGAAAAGGAAAAGAAATTGAAATAAATTTTGTGGATGACGACTTACCAGTTGATATTACTCATCTTGATGTTTCTGACTTCTTTGCTAATCCTAGTGGTAGTATTGATCATTTGATTGGTGATAGAAATGTCCACATCAATTAAATTGAAAAAGACAAAGATTAACTTAATTTGGTAAAATAGTAAAAATATTTATTTATTTAATAATAATAGGAACAAAAATATGATAGTGATTTACCTATAAAGATATATAAATGTGTGTGTGTATCCTTATGCGTACAATAGCATGGGTTTTAATTGAGGTTTTTTTCTTTCAATTATTTAATTTTTTTTTTTTTGCACTAATTGATGTTTTTAAAAACTAAGAATAGTAAAATGGTGAAAGGAAATGTATTATTAATCTCACAAATTTGACAAACAGATTTTTTTTTTTGTATAAAGGCCATTAGAGTTCTCACTTCATGTCATTCATGGCTTAATTAAGCCTAATATCATTACTCCATTCCACAATTAGATCATATTTGGTATTCTTTTTTTTACTTTGTATTTTTTTTTAGCTTTGGACTGATTACTGTAGCGAAGCAATGGTCTTGCGGTAAAAGGCAGATTTGCAACAAATTTGGACCTTTTGAATATAAAGATTATCTGCGCAATATAAAAATTGATTTTGAAGATAAATATTTAATATTTAATATATAATATTTAATGGCCTAATTTAAATAGGGTTATAAATTATATTTATATATATAATAATATTATATTATTATTTTATTACCATATAGAAGTTTGAAGAGTGACACACAGAATTATCACTGAAAAATAAAAAGGTATTGTTTGAAAGGGTTAAGATGGGCATTCACTCTTAACCCACCATTGACTCTTAAATTGTATTGTGTAAGTACTCACTTTTTACTCATTATTGACCCACTCACTTAAATTTTAGTACTCAAATGATTTGATTTTATTGGGCGGAATTGGGTGATTTAATAAATTTGGGCATAAATTTACGCCCCTACTTTTAAATACCAAGGACTTGAACCCATCCACACAGCTTCCACCCAACCCGACCCATAAAAAAGGATATGAGAAAGAAGAAAAATATACAGACCAAGGGTTCAGAGGCCACTTCTATTTACAGCTTTTCTCCCTTGTTAAAACCAAGAAAAAAAATAAAATGGAAATGAGAACTTTGTGAATCCATTTACATTCCAGCTATCCAAGTGAATCTTCTTGTGTAGCTTCATCTACATCATCCATTGGATCATCACATTTCTGCTCACCAGCTCTGTCACTACCCTCGGTTTCAGTATCTGATATTGATCCACCTACAGCATTTACTCCATTATCGTCATCACTGTCAGTGCAATCTTCCGTGTCTGAGTTAGAAACACATCCTTTTCTGGCACCCTCCTGATCACAATCATCCACAACAGCACCACCAAACTGCTCCCTTAGTTCAGGAGCGACAATCCCGATCATCTCACTCAGTGCCTGACGTTCTTGGCTACGTTTAGCAGCAGCAGCAACAGCCGCCACAGAACATGGGGTACTCTGACTCTCGGCCGCCTGAACATTGGAATCATGTGCAGTCGCAGGATCTTCCTCATTGTCTCTACCTGCAGATTCATTCTCTCCATGGACTGAAGGAGCTGTGCTGCAAGCCCAGCTCCCCGCAACTTCAGAAGTCAAAAGGTCTGCTGTTTTGATTGTGCCATCAGCTTCAGTATCTTCCATGGTGTCTTGAATCTCAACAGGGTTATTTGACTGGGAGTGGTGCAAAACCTCTGTAAGTGTCGTCCAAACCCGCTGCTCAGTTTCTTGTACATGAGTTTCGTCATCCAGCTGCATTGTGTCTTCAGCTTGGCTGCACTTGTTCAAATCAATATTTCCGGCAACACAGGCCCCAGGGCTTTCAGTTTCAAGGACTCGCTCAGTTCCAATGGTATCTCCATCCAAAACAGGTTCTGTGCCAACACCAGCAATGTCAGAACCAAAGCCACCCTTAGCAGAGTGGTGGTCCATACTGCTGAATTCTGCTTCCTGGGTGTTCTGATCATCTTCTTGGTTTCTGATATCACATTCATGCTTCTCAGTAACACTGGCTTCATTACTTGATGTCTCAGCTTGATTTCTGCCACCCCCGTGGGCAGAAGTGGCAGAGCCTCCCTTAGCAATACTATTGTTTCGATAGCCTGACGCTTCATTATCTCTGGCTAGTGTCCCATCAAAATTTTCAAAATCTTGATTGAGGTCAATATCAACTGATGTGTTCTCCTCGTCTTCCAGTGTCCTTTGCATTGCCTTCAGTTGTTCCTGCTGCTTTGCAAACAAAACTGAGATCTCCTCAGTTGTGGAATAAAATGCCCGTAGCTGTGTTTCCCTGCAAGGAAACCATGTCGCAACAAAATGACCTAAGCTTAATCCTGATACTCCATCAGCAATTATCATTTGCAAAGACATTTCCAAGCAAACATTAACTGAGCAACTAAAGTATGATATCAGTCTTGATTCTAATCTGCATGTTTCTTTTAAAAAGCGGCAGTAGCTGTAGGTTACATATTCATTAAAAGTAACTGAACTGGAAAAATGCAGACTTGAGCTAATATTAGAGCAAACATTTAAAAGGAAGATTAAGTGAATTTGGCTAAACATTTCACTCCAGATAGCAGGTGCAATTCCTCTTTCTTCATTTATCTCGTCTAATCTCTTTTTCTGTCTCCCTTAAAGAGGCAAAGGAAGTAGCCCATCAGTTTAATTCAGTAACCACCTTGAATTATTTGGTACAAACACCAAAGGTTTATGCCACAAGCAACATAGGAAATGCTTTGGCTGGTTGCATCAGGGGTGGAAATAGGATAAATTGATGGGCATAGAGGGGGACGCCACATGCTTTTTCGTAGACAATCTGGAAAGGGATGGAGAAAAGAATGCTTAAATATAAAGAACTGCCAACCATCTTTGGTGGCTTCGTGGGGAGGGGTGGGGGCTGGGTTTTTCTTTATTAAGATTTGGTTTATTTAGCTTTCCAAGAATTTTAGTTGGTGCTTCGGTAGTTTGTGTATACCCCAAATGTACATAGCTTTTTTTTCTTTATTTTCTTTTTTTTCCTTTCATTAAAATTCTATATATTTGAAAAAGTTCTAGTAAAAATCAAGTTCCCAAAGGGCCATATAATAACTGCCACTTGGGCTCCTGTTAATATTTCCATACCACATCAGAATAGGATAAAAAAAATAAATAAAAAAAGTAAGGAATATCTCAACTATAATGTCCTCTCAGATTTTGCAACAAACACCGCATGCATGCAGACTCCCATCACACTGCAGAAATTAGGGCCATTAAAGAATCCGATTCAGAGCTTCACCAAAATATCCAAATTTGAATTCAATTCTATCATCTGAATCAGATGGATTCTTCGTAATGCCAGCTGTCCAAAAAATGTAAGTTGAATCCAAATCTGGGATTAATAAAAAAAATTGGATTTAAATTAATATTATATAATATATTAAAAATAATGGAATTAATCTCAAAAAACTTATTAAGTTATTTAGAATAAAAGTTGGATCTTAATTGGATCAAATCTATGTGGATTCAACTTGGATGTGGTTGTAACAGGATATCTTAAGATGCAGATTGGAACCAAAGTATGTCAATCAACATTATGTGATTAAAATTTTATTGGAACTATTTGGTGCCCTAAATTCAGTGACCAATATAGGAAAAATAAATGGTTCTAAACAAAGAAATTGGAAACAAAGCACACCAAAGAAAATAGACAGCAACTTTCAACCAAATGGAAAAAGACGTTAGAAAAAGCTATTATTGTCCCATTGGGGACATCCTCCTATTTTGGGGTAGATTAATCACACATGCCTCAAACCCCACAACCTTCCATTTCAGAACATTCATGTTCACATTTAACAAATGATTTCGGATTATATTGTAATACACACAAAGATTTTCCAATGATAGAATTATATGCCAAAAGCAAGAAAGCAATTATCCAGAGTTATAGAAGGAAAACAGTCTACTAAAGCAGGCTTGGCATTGATGTGTATGCAGACACACTTCAGTTACCAAGAAAACTGAAATCCCATAATAAATACGCCAAAGAGAAAATGTAAGTAGAAAAGAACTTGATTGATATCTATAACATGTCAACTCTTACCTGAGCATTATTCTTTCCCTGGCACCTTTCAACCTGCGTCTCTCAAAATCAAGATCCCGCATTGCAGCATTTATCTCAAGCTCAAGTGCAGAAACCTTAGCCCACGCTTCTTCCCGAGCTGCCTGCTACCAACAGCAAGAAACAATCTCAGTTCAAAATTTAACTTCTTTAAGAAGCCTATAGGGGTTTTTATGTCCAGAGATAAAAGAGAATTTTGAACTGTACAGAATTCAGATCTAACAAACATGAACTTCACTTAAATGAGTAAAAAGCTACTACTAAAAAATTGCAATTAAGTAACAAAAAGATGTATAAACAAAAGAGGGAGAGGGATGAGGGCGAGTAAGTTGGGGGTTATATCTTTGATGCTAATATAAGTATCTCTGCAATCACAAACCCATGCATTCACTTGCTGCACCCACAACCCAATTGTCACTACCACTAGGAGGCGAAAGAGGGAGAGGGAGAGGGAGAGGGAGAGGGAGAGGGGTGGGTTCTTAATTGAGTTTTATTGAAGCTTTAAAAATGAAATTATAAGAAGGTCATCATTTTTACCTTTTCACTCTCAAGCTCATTCCTCAATCTCTTCATTCCATGCTCAAGTTCTTCTACTTTCTGTAGCAAAATGGATGGCAGCAAGATAGATAGTATCAGCTTCTCAAGAGAACATATTGTTGGTCATATTCAAATATATACAGGCAGCAAAAGGCAGGCATACTTTTCTTCCATTCGCAGAAGATACTTGTTCCTCACAAAGTTGGGATTCTAGCTGGCGAACTTTATTGTCAGAGTTGAACAATTTTTGCCTAGTTTCTTCCTGTTGCAAATGAAGATCAAAGAAGATAGAATCTTCTGAAGATTCAGATGATATATAGAAATGTCATCATTTATAAAGGAGAATGTAATGCCAATTGTACCAATTTTGTTCTCAAAGTTTCCACTAATGAACACCTTTCTTTTTCTGATTCCTGAAAATGTAATCAAATAATATTTCAATTTTCAACATTCTACTTACTTTAAGATATACAGAGAAGGGGAAACCATAGATACAGCAAAAATAAATTACTTTCAGACCTGAAACTTATTAATTACTTCTTGCTGCTCTCTCTCTCGTCTCAACGTAGCATCAGACAATCGTTTGATTTCTTCTTGAGCCTCCGCCTGAGCTTTCTGAATAGAGGCTCTTAAATCTACTGCAGCCTTTTCTCGTTCTTCTCTTCTCTGTTCTCGCTCTTCATCTAATTGTGCCTTAAGTTCAGATATAGATGCTTTCTGACTATAAGAAAGAAACCAAACATTAAAATGTTTCGACACAATTAATCTTCTTCTGATTAGCACACACACTTGAAAAGGACAACCACGCAGACAAATCATCATTCTTCCTTAAGAATTATCATTTTTTAATCATAAGAAACATAGGCATGCAACAGACCAGAAGAAGTGTAGCCTTCATGGAATGAGGAACACATAGTACTTTAAAATAAAGAAACAGAAAAGGGTGGAAAGAAAGAAAGAAAGGCTCGGTGCAATTCTTTATAAAGAAAGGCTCGGTGCAATTCCAAAAAAAAATAGCCTTCAACTGGTAAAACAATATTAGCAAGCAAAGCAGTTACTCTCTTACTTACAAAAGGCTTATGCAACAACACTTGGTAATATAAAACAACTCCATGAACTATTTGCACAAGTCTCTCTTTTAACTCATCATATCTGAGGGCCTTCCCTTTGTTCAAGATAAGAGTTGCATGGTTAGAATTTTTTAGCCTCGACTACTTGATAATCAGAAGTTATAGAAGCAATGGCTCTACCAACCACCAGAACTTTATGGCTATTCCTAGCCACTAACCCAATGGAAAATGCTAATCAAGCAAGTTCTTGAACATATTCACGTTCCATCTTTGAGTTCTTATTTGGAAGTGGAAAATGCTAATAAAAAAAGGTTCTTCAAATTACTTAAATCATCCTTCATCAATTTCCTCATTGAACTCAATAACAATTCACCGTTTGCAAACATCATCCACAAAGTGCCGACTACATAAACACTTATTAAGTAGTAGAGATAGAAAACACCTACAAATCATCTTTTCAAGAATAAAAATAAAAAGAAAGAGGAAAAACATCACCTTACCAAGAAGTCCACCTTTCTTCATTTCATCTATTTAAAGGCATGTGGTTGTTACAGATAATGTTGGTTTCAAAGATGACATACTTTATGCAAAATAACCCAATGCTTGAAACTAAATATGCCACTTTTGTTGTATTTGTCAAAAAATAAAATGAAATAAAAAGTGCCAATCTTCTTATATAAATGCATATTATTCCTCTTTTTCATGTTATGTCATTGTGTTTCAAAAGTAGAGCAAATATGGAACCTTTTTTTTCCCTTTTTTTCAAAAAATTGTTATTATTTTTTAACTAAACAATGCAAATGGACTCACCAATTTGCCAAATCAAAAGTTAGAACTCCAGAAGTCAACTTCAAACATAAACCAAAGCCAAAACCACAATCAAAAACTAAATAAAAACGGTTCCTACAGTAGAGACTAACAATTGGCAGAACATAGCCTACACAGCCACATAAGCTAATTTTACTAATACATGAAGCAACTTAATATTTGGAAGGAATGAAAAGATAAAATCTGTCATAACAGCAGTATTACACTGATATAAAAAGAAAGTGTCTTACCTATTTATTATTTCATTTGCTTCAGTACATGACTGAAATGTTGAAGAAAGTCTTCCATTCAGGTCCTCCATAGCATGCTTTTGTTCTGCTGTTATTTTATTAATCTCCACCAGTTCCTTCTGTTTAACCTCCAATGAATCGTGCAACTCTTTGAGTTGGTCAATATAAGATTTTGATACCGATTCTCTCAAATCTTTGATTTCCTGCAGAACAGAATGGAAAGTTTATCAAGGGTGATAGTTGGTACAAGATTTTGTCAAGTTGAGTAGTGAAAACGACAAACACAAACACACAGACACACACCCCAAAAAAAAAAAAAAACCCTTGAATCATAATAAATTAAATACCCCTTATTAGTAAACCATGCTGATAAAGAGTGAATCTATGTCACGCAAAGACTTTGAAGTATGCACTACAAATGTCAGTTATGGCATGGTCTGTGCATAGTATGCATTATTAGTTCGTAAAAGAATGTAAGAGCAAAATCCAATGTTTCACAAAAATTAGTTGGGTCTCTGTGTCTCTTTGAGAATGATGCCATACGATTCATAAAGACAGCAGGCAAATTATGATCGTGCTCCCTGTAGGAAAAATGAATTAGAGCTGTGTATTTCCAAATATAAAAACAAGAATCAATAGAAGATAACATAGAAGCATTTGATGTCAAAATAGTAATAATAATAATAACTAGAGTATGCTAAGATAGAGATAAGCAGAAACTCCCATCCACAAATAGCAAAATTTGATTCAACCACATCAACTAACTGCATACAAACATGCACATAAATGAGAGAAATAAGGTCAACATAAAGAGAGAAGCATACACTTTCATGGCGCTCAAGAGCCACACGATATTCATTGCGCAAGGAATCAATTGTAAGGACCTGACTTTCCAATTGCTTCCTCAATTCCTGGAGGTGTGCATACAAAACATGTGAAAACAAATTGGCTGGGCATTCTCAACTGACTTGAGAAGAAATATCTACTTTATCAATTTTACCACAATCCAATATTTGAAAATAGGATACCGTGTTTGATCGTTGAAGGCTCCGAAAATCATCAAGCGAAATAGGACCTTCAGGAGCACCTATACCAATGCCTTTTACTCTCTTGCTTTCAGAGCCAAACTCCTCTACACAGAACAATACACAAGCCATTAACCTTATGAATATAGAGACAAATCCAAACCTCAAAGGCTTAAACCATCTAAATTTACAGCATAGATTGGAAATCAAGTTACAGACTGGTACACACTTAAAATAATTTCAAATCTTGATGTCATAGATTTATCAAAGAAGCTGACTGGCAAAAAAGAGTTGGGCCTGAGGCATGTTGATCAGAGTTCCTCTCCCCATAACTATCTTTTTAGGGTGAATCAAGTTTACAAATAAGAACAAACTTTGGATCTTTCTTTAATCTCTTCCATCTTTAAAGGGGCTATCTTCTACTTAAGGTAGAAGATTCGCAAGAGAAGCTTCTCAATAAAATTTTGCACGCATATATTAAGCATTTTAAGAAGACTAGGAAGCACGGACACTCCAAAATGGACGAAGAATCCGTGTCCGACACGTGTCGGACATGGACACGCGTCGGACACGCCCCGACACGTGTCGGACACGCCAAAAAACGTGTCTGGAATTTTTTATTTTTTTAATTTTCGGACACGGCTCGGACAGCTCGGACACGGCTCAGACACGGCTTGGACACACTTTTCTGGAGTTTTTTTTTTTTTTTTTTAATTTTTAATGCTGATATGTTAATTTTTTTTTAATGCTGATATGTTCTATTTTTTGTTTTGTACTACCCTAAAGATGCTGATATATATATATACTAACCTAAAGATGCCACAATTCGCCGTGTCCGTGTCCTAAAGATACTGATATATATATATACTAACATATCAGTGATATATATATATATATATATTCCAACCTAAACATATCAGTGTTTTTTTTTTAAATTATTAATGCTGATATATATATATATATATATATATATATACCATTCGCCGTGTCATTGTCCTAATTTTCTTGGATTTGCCGTGTCGCCGTGTCCGTGTCGTGTCGTATCCGTGTCCCGTATCCGTGTCCGTGCTTCTTAGTAAGAAGATTAAGAAAAATACCAGATGCACAATTAGAATCAAGTGCATCATATCCATAAATCTGCTTGATAGATATGTTGAAGTATTGACATGAATAATTGAATAAAATGTATGATAAACAAATATGAACTTGTATGTTACACATAGTATGTAAAACATAATAACATGTATACAAATATCAACATAAAAGACATGATAAACACATGAAGCTAATGGGCCATTGCCCTGTGTAATGGTAAAAAGCTCAAAAAGACGAGAGAGGTTGCAGGATCGAATACAAGAGCAGCCACCGTGTGTAAAAATATGTCCAAAACGTAAGGTCCATACCAGTCTTCCCCTTCCAACACCCTGCTCAGATGGGACATAGTCTGCCTAATGCATTTTTTAACACATGAAATTTGTAGAAAGCCTATAAAGAGATGAACAAAAACCATGCTACAGTGAGAAACACTGCGTTCCTTTGTAATATACTTTAGTACTTGTAGGTGTAAGCCGCCAAAAGCTTTAGAATAAGCATATATTCAAGTATATCCATTGTCCACAATGTTGCAGAACATCAATATTCGCATTAAGCTTTCAGAAATATTATTTAGTTTTTTCTTTGGATTAGCAAGAGCTCTGTAGTAAATGTGATAGGAATTCAAGTACACAAGCAGAATATATGATTTCATAGAAAATCAATATCACATGAGTACATAATATGACAAAAGAATATTAAATACATGATACAAATGTCAGAATGAATATACCTGCTTTTCTTTTCAAAACTGGACCATCGGACAAGGAAGTGGACTTGAGAACATCTCGAAATACAAATGCGAAGGAGAGTTCTGCAAGCACCAAACAAAGTTGAAATATTTAGTCACTCTCATCAATCTGATGGAATGAAAACCATCACAGATATAACTAAATAAATAAATAAAACTTTGTAAGATCTTTCAATTAAAAATTCGAAACCCTTTGCAACTTAGCGACTTGCTCTTCTAGTTGATTATGCCTTGAATGGTTTGTTCAAACAACTACTAAGATAGAGAACAAGATCATCCAAATATTGCATCGAACAAATATATATATATATAGAGAGAGAGAGAGAGAGAGAAAAGATGAACGAGATTCCAAGAAACCAGTGTATGATGCACAGATAACAGTTAGGGGGCTTATAAAATAAATAAATAAATAAAGGTTCCATGTCTGAATGAGTGAAGAAACTGATAAAAAGAAGGAGAAGAAAAGACAACAGTGGCCATATCTTGGATAAAAAAGACAAGTGAGAGGGAGAGGAGGCAGGCATAAGCTTTTATTCTCTAGCCTGTCATCTATTTCCTTTCCTCATAACTTTCTCCTAACAACAAATTAAAGAAATATTTTCTGTAGCTCTGCCAAGAAAAGGAACAGTTGCAACAAATATGTTATAAAAAAATAATAACAACATTATAAAATGAAACACACATTTTTTTAAGTAAAAAGAAATAATAATAAAAAAAAAAATAAGAGGAACGAGGAAAACTTTCTTTAAGATCCTTTTTTAACAGATTATATGGCTGGCATAATAGGTGAGCAACGTAAAATGCCATGTTCAAAAGTCATGTCTATTGTCTTTTATAGGCACTACAAACTGTTGGAGTGATCCGAGAAGTCGGAAAAATTGTAGGGGGTATTTCACTTCTCTCTGTGCAACTTGGAGATGGGCATGAAACTAAAGTTGGCACAACCTCCCCGTTTTTCAGAGATGTCTTTTAGTGCCATCATAACAGGCCTAATGTAGATCCCTTTGTTCCTTCTCACTTTCATTCCAGATCCTAATGTTGGAAAAACACCCCTACAGTTTTTTTTTTTTTTTTTTTTCAATATCCTTTCACGAATACTGGTATTATACAACGAAAGGAGAAAATAGGAGCAGAAGAATAGCTAATACTCATATTCAGCATACTTTAAGAAAAAGGAAATTAAGCAAAAATATGATGAATTATACTAAATATTTCAAAATATGAAAGACCAACTCTTTTCTATATGAGGCAATAAAGGGTTAAAAGCCCCAGATCTGAAAAAGCTTTCATATCATATTACCATGTTGAGGAGGGCACGCAAATGAGATAATATCTCCATGATGTAGTTCAGCTTCAGAACCATTTTTTGTCAACTTCTCCCAGTTGAGGTATGTCCCATTTGTACTGCATAAAACTTCATACAGTCAAAGTATTTACACTTCCCTATGCATCAAATAGCTCCAGAAACAGTACATAATTTACCTGGTATCTTTCAAGAATACAGTTTTATATAAGTTGGACGAGTTCTCCACATCTTCAGCACCAACCCTCCTCCTATAAATTTTGCAATGATTTCCACTTACCGCAGTTGATATAATCTGAAAACGTGTATCATCTACCAATCGGCCAATGCAGTGCTCATCAGAAGTCAAAAGCATATTTATGCCCTGGTTTATCAATTCCATCATCAGCTTAAATTCATAAATAATAAAATTAAGTAATAAAAAACTAACACTCCAACAATACAACGAAAATTTAGGTTTTATCAATTCCATCATCAGCAAAAAAAAAAAAAAAAACGATAAAACGAAAATTTAGGTTTTTAGCAATTCCATCATCAGCTTAAATTCATAAATAACACATTTAAGCACTCAAAAAACTAGCACTTCAACAATGTAGAGCATGAATGAATATGAGATGCTACAATGTCAATTTCACAGTTCAATCGACATTCACAATTCAACAAATACATCATCCACAGAAAATTTTTAAATTATTTCACGGAACTCAAGGTAACATTCACAATTCGAATAAATACACCCAAAAAAATTATAAAAAGTAGAAAAAAAAAATAGGTTTTAACCTGATGACGCTTGCGGGCATTGTTGGAAATGCCAGTGAGGACACCCCAGACGTCGGGATCGGAGTATCTGAGAGGCTGAGAAGCGATCTTGGAGGCGACGGAGAGTATGAAATCTTCGGGAGTGAGAGACTTCTTAGGGATTGAAGAGGTCTCCTTGTGAGTGTGAGGCGAACTGTCCTGGGAGACCATGCGAGGAACTTCGTTTTTAGTGTTTGGACTTGGCTTTGAAGCCACTGGAGTCTCTGGGCTCTCGTCTTCTTTCGTCATTCAATGGACAAACACAGATTTTTTGCAGATAAATATTATCTATATATATGTGTGTGTGTGTGTAGAGAGAGAGAGAATTCCGGTGGTTAAAACTGGCGGGGATTTTAGAACCCTAATTTGCTGCTCCGTATTCAGGGACGATGAGGCAGGAGGGACTCTATTCTACATGAGCCCACACGGGTAGTCGACAAGCCAATCACTTCAGGCTTCGTTTGGTTATTAAACTCAGTAACACACCCCCAATTTGTTTCAAACATATATTTTCCCTAGACTCTGCTGCTAATTTAGAGAGTTAAAAAGAGAACCAAGACCCTAGCTGATTTTAATGATTAATGCAATAATTTAGATTTATAATGTAATAATTATATAAATGTGTTAAAAAAAATTTATTTAATAATATTATCATACAGCATAATATAAATATGTTACACGTTTGTTGGATGTCCTCAGCAAACCTTATTATTAATTAATATTGTCTCTATTGATTTAACTTGTAAAAATTACTAACAATAACTTATATCATTATTATTTTTATTGAATGGCCGCCGGACATGCCCAATAACAATTTTAAAATAAAAGTGATCCAAGTTCTTCAAAGAAATATTACTAGATTAACTACACTTTAAATTTTTTTTTTTTTTTTAAAGATTAAACAAACTCATGCAATCATGTCTTCGATAAGGCTCAAACCAAGCAAAATCATACACCCATTCCTTCGTTGAGGCTTGAGCCAAGCAAAACACACATGTTGTCACTGAAACTCAGAAGTATACAACCATGTTTTCACTGAAAATTTGCATCCGCTAAGCTATTGCCCCTAGAGAAAAGATAGGAAAAGATTTTGTTTTATTTGCCGAGTCATTCTTTAAAACCAGAATTCATTTGTTAGAAGTTAATCTGCAAGTCTGCAACACGCCAACACCTGTTCGGTAACAAAACAGTACGCCTGGACGACGACGACTTCAAGTCGTCAAGCTTTCCATAGCATTTGGTCTGCCAAGAAATGAAGGCACTCCTCCATTTTAAATCACTACTTTTGAGCAAATTATGTCTCTGCTTGCATGCATCGCAAACAATAAGATGGTATTTTTAGCATTCAAATGCAGCAAATATTATTGCGGTTAGGCTCGGGTTAAGGACTTTCAACTTGAATTGTCAACCCAGATTAAGGGTTCATATTTTTTGACAATCAAAAGGCTGAATTCACTGGATTATTGCCAAAAGAATGAAGAGGGCTCACTTCCAGCTCATAAACCAACATTGCCTTCTTCAGATAAGTTCCATAATTTTAAGAAGAGACGATGAAAGACTTATAGAACCAAATATACTAATTTAAAATGCAACAATTTCATTTTCATGTGGTCTAAAAAAAAAACACCCTTGGCAATTGATTCACCACCTGACAAGTAGTAAACAGTAGTCATACATAATTCACCAATTAAAAGGAAATTTCAGGATCTATATGAGTTCCTGCTATACATAATTCTGCAGGCAACAACAATAGAGTTATTTACCGGTAGTTCAAATCTACGAGTACAAGACGGCAGCCAAAGTTCACATCCAATAGCAGCATCACATTCGGATTAATGCATACTAGGCAGAAACAAGTTATACAAGTTTTTTGCTATAAAATAAGTCTAGCCAGCAAGTGGGTTAGCATGTATTGTCACACGATTTAGCCTGATCTCTGCAAGAGGTCGATCCCCTGGTCCTGTTTGAGTCTGCATAATCCCAGAAACAAGTAAATGAATGATATCTTCACAACACAAACACATATATTGTCAGGGTATTGATAAGCACCATAAAACACATATATTATATGTCAGGGTGTCGATAAGCACCATAAAAGATGTGAGACAAATCACTACGTTGATGGTGAGAGGACCTCACTAGGAATTCATCAGTCTCCAGGTGATCCATACTGGATCGTTTTTTATTTTCTACACACCCAACCTCTTAAAAGTAATCACTAACATAACCAAATACCAGAGCCAAGAACATACCTTTTCCATAATATCAAGAACTTCAAATCCATGAATCACCTTACCAAACACAGTGTACAATCCATTCAGATGAGGTTGCTTTGCGTAAGTTAAAAAGAACTGACTTCCATTAGTATTAGGCCCACTATTGGCCATTGCCAGTATTCCCCGTGCATTATGCTGGACAAAGAGCCAAAAAGACAAATCATGATTATGCTTAAACATTTTGTATTTAAATTGTTTAATATAGCATACCATCAACATCCCAATTTTCATGATTTATAACATAGATCATTCCAGGAAATTAAGAGTAGACTTCAATTTTACCCAGAATAACTTGCATTCGAAAGCCAGGAAGCACAGAACACATTCCTAAGGGGGCTATTGCAGTGGCTAATACATGTCAGATCAGACACAATCCAGACCCACACGAATGTTTCCCATAAATTCTTTTTAAATTCATTAAAACTTGGACACAACAGGAACACAAGATAGACATATGGACAAGGTTTGGGACACGACTTGTAGTCCTTGTGCAATTTAAAACTTTGAATACGGGGATCGTTTGAGGAACTTTAGAATTTGGGGCAATAAAAGAGTTCTAATCAGCCTCTTGGTTGCCATGGTGGTGGGGGAGAGAAGAAGCATCTTATCTTGCTCATAGAACAAATCCCAGCAGCTTCCTTCCATTATGGGATGAGCTAGGTCATCAGCTAAAACGAAATGACGTAAGATACGAACTCTTCTTATTTGTCTCAATGTGTTTCTACTTCAATGCAATAAAGGTTAAGATTGGAACCCTCTTATCCCAAACCCTTTTGTGTTATTTACTTGAAGTACCCTATTTTTATATGTTACACCACCTTTGACATCTCAATTATTAAAATTATGAAGGTACCCCGATCTATTTCTTAGTTATTTTAGACAAAAAACATTTTTCCCTGGATTACATGATGAAACATTTTTTTCCCTTCCTTTTTAACCTGGGGAAAGCGCCCAAATCTTTTGTTATTTTATATCTATGATTCCTGTACTCTTTTACGTGTCAAGCGTACTCTTTTACGTGTCAATCGTAACATCTTCCAAGAAATTAATGCAAGCCTAAAATTTTATGTTCTTTGTAATATATGTAACTAGAACACGATGTTTAAGCTTTATTAAGCCTGCTCAACCAACAACCAAAGTGCAGCATCCCAATGTCTCACCCACACGACCCCAGATAAAACTTTAAAAATAGAAAAGAAAACATAAAGGGGAAAACATCAAAGTCAAAAGGTGAAATTTTGGAGTTTGACAGGGAGATCTGAAATTGCATAGGCTTGATTCGATCAAGCCGCTGTGTATTGGAATTTGGAAAGAACATACTTTCAAAATATGTCAAATATGAATCTGTCTGATTCATAAAGGAAGAACTTTAATCTAGCCACACAGAAAAAATAAACAATAAAAAACATAATACTTAGAAACAAGTGTCCACCCAGTATAGTAAAAAGGTGAAAAAAATAAATTGCAAGAAATAAGCCAAAATATCATTGAATATAATAGGCAAATAACTGACACCCAAGATTTCTTCAAAAATTTACCTTGAGAGATTCTCTTATTTCATCATTGAACTTTTTGCCCCATATACTGGTCCCACCTTTGCCTGTGCCTGTTGGATCTCCACCTTGGATCATAAAACCTTTTATGTTTCGGTGAAATACTGTCCCATCATAATAGCCGCTGGCACATAGTGCCAAAAAATTCTGTATCCAAATGAAGTATTGAGTATTATAAACAAAGAAGTAAAACAATAGCAAAAGAACTGTTTATGAAGCATAAAAGAAGCCCTCATTGCAAGAGAAAGGTAGTGCCTAAATAAATATGACGTACTCATATAATCTAGTTGACAAAGTTGCTAACAGCAAAAATAACTTCATGTCATAATATTAGCCAGTGAGATGAGCAATGGCATAAAGATAATGTGATCTTTGCAGCTGTACACGTAATTATGTAACCAAACAGAAAGGAGCAAAATTGCCTCTAGTTCCCACTGAAATAGGCAAAACGTTTATGTTTCCTAGTGAACCATCATGAAGCACATGTGAAAAACTGAAATTCACAAAATATCACTAAATAATAAAGAGAATAAACCCAATGGTTTTCGAGAACAACAAAACAATAATTCTACACCAAAAAAGGTTTTTCAACATAAAATATACAAAACCCTCAAGGATGTCGACTGGAAGAAACCACCAGCAAATCTAATGTAGGAGAGACCAATCTGAAATCCAGCTAGTAGATTTAAAGCTTTCTCCTTCCTCCATTAGGAACAATCTCCTAAAATTTCAGCTTGGTCAGAGATAAAATAACCTTCTACTTGATAACAATGATCAGCAGGACAAACTAACCAAGAGCATCAATGTAACTAGAATCGCTATGCCACAACCACCACCACTGCCACATTCAAGTCTGCCATTATGACACCACCACTCGCTGTTGTGCTACCAACCTCACCATCACCACCACAACCATGTAGCATCATTACCATACTCCATCATCGCTGCAGCATCCAGGACACAATCGCCATCGACCGCTTTTGCCACTACCTCCATGGCAGTTGGTATCATAACTAGCATTGCTACCAGTGCCGCCACCACCATATAGACATTGTCAACACTTTATTGCATCCAATCAAAGCAGCCGCTGCTACCACTACCATTGTTCTTTTATCATTAAGGATCCTTCATCACTTCCGCTACCACCGTGAATCTCATGTTGGAGTCTCTTCCCTAGACCCCAACTACTTGTAGGAGCACCAGAGATTCCACAAACGCCTTCTCATTTCTCGAGGATTTTGGAAAACAAACCAACCCAACTACCGAACACAGACAATTTGCGAAAAGGTATTTGAGAAGTCACACATACATAGTACACTGAAAGACTCTGTCGGATAAGACTGATGATAAACCACCAAGAAGACTACAATTGTACAGGTAAACTACAAACACCAATGGTGAAAAAATTTCCTAGAAGACTACTATATACCACAACTTACTGATACACAAAAATTGACCCCAAAAAAAAATTGTGATTTCACATGTGGGAGCAAACTGGCCAAAGGGCAAGAAATTCTGTCAGCAATTGTATCCAATGACCCATAACCCAATACCACAAGTTGCTTATACACAAAAATTGACAAAAAAATGTGATGTCACATGTGGGATCAAACTGACCAAAGAGTAATAAATCCTGTCAGCAATTGTATCCCATAACCAATACCACTTCTTCAGTCAACTTAGCTATCGGAACCATCATATGCCTTGTTTACTCTGAAATTAAATGAAAAGGGCATAACAGATACACCGAGCTAACATAATCCTCATTGACCCACAACTATAGTGTTTAGCTAAGGTAAGCTTTCATTTAGTAAAATTAAAAATTTTAAAAAATAGACAGCATAATTGATGAGAACCCAAAGTTTAGTTTCTTTGTGTGTGCGCGCGCGCGCGCGTGTAAGGGAGAGAAAGAGGAAGAAGTTACCGACCTCAGCCGTCTTGGGGACCTCGTCACAAGCGATCTCGCACTTGATGTCTCCGAGATTTGTATGAAGTGTCACTGACTGCAAAACCACAAGCATGTATGTGCGAGTGAGTTGCGTATTCGAATATCCAATAGATGAAGCTAAGTGTTCGACGAAATGACGCAGAGAAAACTCACCATTGCGTGTGCGTTCTCGCTGACAATCGCTGTTAGTTTACGTGAATAATGCGATTTCGCTGTTACCAAATAAGCAATTCTCGCGCTCTGTCGTCACTGCCTTTGGATTTCCAGATGTTTCTCGAAGCCAAACCTCTGCATAGAGGCGTTACCACTGTCGGTTCGAATAAGGTCAGGGTACGTAATTTTCATTCACCATTGCGTGAAAACCTTTTGTTGTGTATTCAATATTTACACCCTTCTATTGGATCTGTTAAAGAAGTGGATCCTAATCCGAATCCGATTAGTGGGATGTGAATTTAATAAAATCAATAATCTGATTACGATTCGAATCTGATAATCAATTAATTTAATAAATCGAATATGGATCAAGTTGATCCGATATGATAAAAATTCAATCCAATTCGATCCGATTAAAATTATATATATGAATAATTATTTATCAATTATTTTACACATATACATCTATATATATATATATATATATATATATATATATATATATATATATATCAATCCACCTATTAGAATTGTATTTGAGGTAACCCAAAAATTCAAAAAAAAAAAACATAATGTTATATATATAATAATGTGGTGTTCTCATTCACATACTAATAAATCTCTTAATATTCATACTAATAATATCATACTCTTTATAATTATATATGTTAGTAAATATGATTTTAATCCGAATTCAAATCCGATCCGAGTTCAAACTAAATAGGATATGGATTAGGACATTCAATCCGAGAATCCGTTAATGATTCGAATCTAATAATTCTTTTGCTTAACAAATTGGATATGGATTTGATCGATCCAATCCATTGACAGGCTTACTTCTATTTAGTATTTACCCAACAATAAGTAATAAATTACACCCATCTGCTAATAAGCAAAACCTGATTAATTTTAAAACTACCTATTTCAGCAATAATATATATATATATATATATATATATATATATATATATATATATATATATATATTTATGTAGAATATGTTACTCTTCTTGATGTGTATAAAGAAATAAAAAGAAATATTTAGAACTTTGAAGGTAAATTAGAAAAACTATGACTTCAATTAAATAACTAATTTGGGACTCATCAATAATAGACATGTAAATGAATCGAATTATGATTCGAATCCAATCAAATTATCCGAATATGAATTGAAAGAAAAATTGGATAATTCATTACCTTAATAAATCGAATATGAATTATAGGTAATCCGATCCTCTAATAATCTCATCCGTTTAAAATTTTATATATATATATATATATATATATATATATATATATATAATTTATCACTATATACATTTGGTAGCATAATTTATATTATGCACCATTCTGTATACGTTTAACCTTATAAATCACTGGATATGATTTTAATCCGAATTTGATCATATATGAATTCGAGGTAAATAGTATATAAATTAAAACATTTAATCCGATAACCCGTTAGCAATTTGAATTCGATAATATGTTACCAAATCGAATATAGATTTTATCGATCTGATTCGAATCTAATCCGTTTACAGGCCTAATTGAGGGCATGCACTCCATCAAGGGTTACTGTGGTGAGCTTGTAAGCCGAAGTGTGTGGACGGGTGCGGGACATTAACAAATTACAATGAATTGCTTAAATGTGATAGACTATTAGTGTAATCTCCAAATGGGCCAAAGCCTTTTGGTGGTAAAATTCAGCAACAAAATAGTGGGAACTTTTGTCCAAGTGAACAATATTTATAAGAGTTTGATTCTTTACGTAGGGATGTCAATTTCTCCCAACTCGCCTCGCTTTTAATGGGACGGATTTGGTAGTCCTCTAAATAGGTTTGAGGTGGGTATAATAAAATAATTAAAAATTCGAATCGTGTTTGGAGTGGAGGCGAATTTAGTGATAAATTCACCCGCCCTGATTATAACACGTGCCTTTAATATATATATATATATATATATATATATATATATATATATATATATATGTATAATATATTTAATATTTTTAAGAACCTTATTACTTTGTTACAAGTGTCTGACACTATATTAATATTCAACCGTTAGTAATTTAAAACTATGGATAGTTTATTTATTTGCCCAATTTGATTATATTCAGCTATTTTTCTTTTACTAAATAATAAAAGTGACATAATTAGTTCGGCCCTCACAATTAAATGGAGTACGTGGAGCAAAATCGATACTTTGTCTGTTGAAGTAAGAGTTTGTATACCAATTATAAACCCGTCCTAAAATAAGAGTGAAATTGGTACAATTTTCTAATGGGACATAATAGGGTTCAGCTAAACCCGCCCGGGGATTTCCCTAATGTTTTCAAAATCCTGAACAAAAATATTGAAAAAAACAAGGGACAATATTTATAAGAAAATATGAAAAATAAATTAAATTTAAATAAGGGGAAGGAAAAAAATTACACGTCTTGCGTGTACGTTCCACGTGTACGTAGTCCCCCACGCAATCTCCAGAATTAACGACTTCGTGCTTTACCCTTCTCTCTCGTTCTCTCTCGTTCTCTCATCTATTTCGTGCTCTCCCTCTCAGTAGTTGCAGATTTGGAATTATTAGGGTTCTTTCTCGGATTTGAGTTACATTAAGCTTTGTGGAGTACTATTGTGTTATGACTAACAATACGAAGGCTAACGAGACTGTAATATTGGAAGAGAAGATTGAAGTGGAAGATGGTTATGGAGATTATATGAGATTGGAGGATTCAAACAATGGTGAAAATGGCGTTATTCCAGAAGTTGAGACTCCAAACCGTAGAATCGGAAGATCGCGGTGGTTTTGGGCAAAATGGATTGCATTATGTGTCTCTTTTGGGGTTTTGATTGTAGTCACGGTCAAATGGGCTGGACCCTTCTTCATGAGGGTGGTACGTTTTCGATAAAACGATTGAATTTACATCTGCTTTCATTCTTTAGAATGGATGATTGTATATAGATCTCTCTCTCGATCTGAATCTCTTATATTTTGTCTGTTAAAAATGTGTATATAAGTTGCCTTAGTTTTTGTGATTCAATTGGTATGGACATGCCAATAAAAATCATGTACTGTAATTGGTTTGAACATTATATTTGTCAATTATCTCAATATAGAAAAAATAACCTCTGTTCCTCTGTTGTTCCCAAACTGCCCTTTCTATGTTACTGTTTGTCTGTTTATTTTGTCCCCTCCATTTTTAAGCAAGGATTGGTTTGATTCTCTATTTTTATTATTTTTTTTTTTATTTTTTTAGTGGCCTATTCACTAAGAAATTTCAAACGAACAAAACTATAATTTGCTTATGAGAGTTGGTAAATACTATGATTTTTTTTTTTTCTTTTTCGTATATGATTTTCATTCTTGCAGTGGTATACTAAGGAGCTGCAGTGGTATACTAAGGAGCTTTAATATGGAGGACTGTTGTCTAGTGATGATGTCTAGGATTCTGGTGGTCATGAATCTTTAGTCAACTTTCACTTTTAGTGGGTTAAGCTAAAGGAAATTTTTTAGGGGCATTAAGGTTGAGAAAGGACCTTTAAGGTTTTAGTTATCTATGGAATTTTGTTCTTTTCAAAATTTGAGTTTGTTTTAAAGTAGTAATTAGCTAAATTAAGAGCAATCATGTGTAAAAATCGCACACTGCATGGACCCCCTATTTATAATTTGTCTCAAGCCATTTCAATTACAACTCCAAAGTTTATTTAGTCGAAAGTTTTTGTGCCAACAAATGGCATGTGAAATTGGTTGCTACTTGCTTTGCATATTATTCATAATTTCATATCAATTCTTGCTATGATGCTTGTCTTGAACATCTACAGGAAGTTATCCCTTTTATAAATTGGGAGATGGAAACTTTCAGCACTCCTGCTTTGGCAGCTATCGTAGTTGCGACAGTGGCATTATTACCTGCTTTATTTTTGCCAACAACGCCTTCTATGTGGGTGGCTGGAATGACTTTTGGATATGTGAACGGGTTCCTACTAATCATAGCTGGGGTGGCTGCGGGAGTGTCAATACCTTATTTCGTTGGCTCTCTGTTTAACAATAGAATCCAGGTAAGTATCTAGTGTTCTAAATTTCTTCTCTCTCTCTTCATTATAAAATTATCTCATGTTCTAATTGATTTTCTTTTTTTACTCAGAGATGGTTGGATAAGCATCCAAAGCAGGCTTCCATTGTAAGACTAGCTGGAGATGGAAATTGGTTTCATCAGTTTAAAGCCGTCACCTTGATTAGACTTTCCCCATTTCCATATGTTCTATTTAACTATGTAGCAGTGGCCACAGATGTGAAGTATTGCCCTTACTTATTGGGGTCGTTGTTGGGAATGGTGCCTGAAATATTTCTTGCAATCTACAGGTTGGACTTCTTCTCCCATACATTTGTCATTTTTGTGGACTTCTAGTACATTACTAAATACATTAACATGCAAGGTCATACATGTCACTGCAATAGAAACCATTGTCTTTCATTATATAGATTTTTTATTTTTTATTTTACTATGGGCAACTGTAGTGCTTGTTGCATAAAGCCATAAAGCATCCATGACGGTACTCAATTTTAGTTCATGGCTAATTTAGGGCAACATAGACATGTCATTTACTGACATATTTTGGAAAATGGTGTTAGTTCTGAGTATGCTATTACTTTTTAGTGATTGCGTGGGGGTGGGTTGACCTATGCGCATGTTGATCAACTCTTATCAATGACCATTCCTTTGACAATTTAACAAATTTGCTGAATCTTTGCATTTCTAAATTGGTAGTTCGTGCAAGTTATATTCGACTTTTCTCCTGAAAATGCAGCATGTAGCAAAATGATCAGAGGAAATCATATGCCAGCCAAACTAGTTATGATGAAAGCTTTGATGAGTTGAGTTGACTTAATGTCACAACTTGCAAATTCAGGAGTCTTACATATAGCATAGTGCTACACATTTGAAGTTTTTGAACTAGACGTAGTACACTTGCAGAATCTACAAAGAATTATTATAGTTTTGGTACAAATGTGGAATAAACAAATAATTTTGCTGATTTAATATCCTTGGTAAATCACTAAAAAATCACTAACAGAAGCAACCTGGTCAAATCTATATCCCACATAAAGCAAAGCCAACCTTTGGATGCATGCAACTACCTGAAGCCACATGTAACAGATAAGTCCATAAGCAATCGAACTCGAGAAATCTTGATTGTCACCAAGAGACTTTAGCCAACATAGCTGCTCTATTGGGGTTAACCTAATCTTGTTTTAGAAACTTTATTTTATCTATGTTCATTTTATGAGCACATTTTCTTTTGACCGCTAACAGACTAAAATGGGCCCATATTGATGAATTAGTACTCTCCCTTGATCAAGTCAATCCCCAGTATGCTTGCTGTATTTGAGGTTATGATATAACATATTAATAGTACACTAAATTCTTTGCTGCTTAAGATTTTGAACTATCATGCAAAACGAAAACTATCACGTTGCCCCCTTTCCGTGACGGAACCGTTAAGTTGTTGCAAAATGAAAATAATGCCCTTGATAGTATATTATCATTTTATCAAATTAAATATATTTTTTTCAAAACCCTTCGTCCAAGATTTATATATATATATATATATATATATCTCTTCTCTCTGTATATAGGAACTCCATTGCTGCCCATAATCCCACCGGTGAAGAGCACCACAAGGACCGCCGGCGCAAAGCACCACAAGGTCACCGCCGCATGATACCACCAGCGTTGCCGGCACCAACACCGACGCAAAGCACTGCCTACGCAGCTGCCACCATCCTACCCTATTTTCATCACCGCCACCACTGTATTTTGGCGATGAACCACCACCTCCTCATCAAAACCACACCTGCAAAATTGAGGGCACGACTACCACAATCGGTGGCGCCAACACCACTATAATTGTGTATTTTAGAGAATAAACCACCACCACCACCACCACCACCACCACCACCCCCACCCCCACCCACAGCCTGCCTAAACCTAAACCGAATACCCACAAATCCTACAAACCGATCGCGGAAACCAGTCAAAGAACCCAAGACCCAGCACTGTTCGCCTCGTCGCAGCACTGTGCCTTCACCTTTGCCGAAATCGGGTTACCATCATAATCCATTCATCCTCAAACACATGTCAAATCTGATAGTCACTGGTATCCATGGAGCTTCTATAGTCGCCGATGAGATAATCACAGTGGTTGGTCACCGGAGTCAATGGACTTCATGGTCATCAGAATCCATGAATCTTCAATTTGTAAAGAGGCTAAGAATAAAGCTTATCAGTCATTGGCGTTAGATGGAATTGAGACTATGAATCCATGGATGGAGTGACTGATCAACCTAGGTTGGGTATACAAAGATTACCCCAGTCATCTCTTTAGCCCTAATCAGTGTTGCCACAAAAGGAATCAAAACCAATAGCGTAGGAGGCCACGTGCAACACTTGTGGTGTGGGAAAAGGGTAGTTTAGTCATTACGTCATTACAAGGGTATTTTGGTCAGTTAAAATTAGGAAGTGCTGCACGTGATAAGATCCCGTTATTTTAGACGGTAAACTAACGGGGAGGGGGTGATATGATAGACTTTTAAAAATATCAAGGGGTAATATGATAGTTTCTTTAGTAGAGGGGGTTATTTGATAGTTTTTGTTAACAATGGGGGGGTTTTATGATTTTAGCCCTATTTATTTTTTTTATAGAACTACTCTTGCCAACTGGAAACACCTAACACAAATTTTAAGATGGTGTTTTGGGTTTCAAATGCCTGCTTGCTACTCTCACAAGCTAAAACTCCAAATAAAAACTTAGGCCATGGTGTCTTTAATTCTTGTGTTTTACCTGCAATGTCCTTTATATAACTTGCTTTAATTCTTGTGTTTTGAGTTTTTGGCCAACCAATGACGCTGCTCCTTCATATTGGGCAAACCAATGAAATAATGCCTGCTCTAATGATGAGTAGAATTTGTTGTATGGATTCACTCCAGAACATCATTCCCTTTTGCTCTCTTCATGAACTTGGCACTAAAGTTTGTGTGTACATTGTCACTCGCAGTTAGGTTTTAACACTTTCTCTTCTGGATCCATAACTATTGTTTCGGTCGCATTTTAAAATACAAATTTTCATTAACTCAGCAAGACATTTTCACTGTATTTTGGATTTGGATATGAGATACTTATATTTTCTCCCTCTGAAGTTGGGGTCGCAACCTCTTCAATCACAAATTACACTGTCTCTCCACGCAATTTTAACTTGATTTCCTTTGGGCTTTTTTATTATTATTATTATTATTATTTTTTTTTTTGCTGTGCCCGTAACTTGGTCCAAGTTGTTGCTCATGACTTGGGCAGCCATTGGTTTTTCTTGCAAATGATCAGTGTGTTCGCCAACTTTCTCTCATCTTTAAACAGCTTCTATATTACGTTAGTAAAACCATCATAAGTCAGAAACTGGAAAAGATGCTCAGCTGTTAAGTTTTTATACATGAAGGTCCAAATGTCAGTTCAGAGATGGCAAATAACTCAATCTTTTAAGGCTTCTTTGTTTCCGTTATTGACTGTGATGTGTGTCATTTTCTTATTCTTCTCTTCTGGTAGCAATATCTTACAGATCTCACACCTTTGTGGACTTTTGAGTAAAATATTGTTCATTTCTTTTTACCAAATGTTCTTTTTCTGCCAAGGTCTTTACTATCCAGGAAATTCTTCAAAATTCTGTTGCCATTCAATATTGGGCAGTTTTGCTTTAAATGCTGTTGTAATTCACCCAGTCACTCGAATCATCGCTTACGGCTTACCTGAGTTGCACCACCTATCTAACTTTGGTCATTTTATGTTATCCAGTGGAATTTTAATACAGACTATGGCTGATGCTACACGAGGTCATAAATCCATTTCCACACTGCAGAAAGCATTTGATATTACTGGGTTTTGCGCCAGCGTCACTGCTACAATAGTTATTGGGATTTATGCCAATAAGAAAATAAAAAAGCTACATGACAAAGAAGAGCCACAACTGGGATAACTCTGAATTTTTAATACAGAGGACATACAGATTGCAAAGACTATATTGGGTTAAGACATCTGGGGACATCATATTTGTATTGTACATGTATGACTTGTAGATACTGTTGGTTTGTTATCCAATGAAGGATCTGGGAAATATATGGCCACAGAAATGTAAAGAAGTCTGCTTATTTTCTTTTAATCCTTGTTTAAAGGAAGCAATTTCAATTTAGATGGTAAACATACCATCATTTTGAGAGCGTTCGTAATCGGTTTTGCAATATATGAAAACTGGCCGTTTGCAAGCTCATGTTGGCGTTTATTCATGAACCTGACATTCGACGTCCTCAGGGAATGCTTTTATGATCTTTTCAATTTCAAAAAAGTGTTTGTTTCTGGAATGGAATACAAGTTACTTGTAATAATTTCTAAAAGTGTTTGTTCCTCTTACAATTTCCAGTTTCACCAACCATAATAAAAAAGGCAAAACATACATAAGCACATCATTCATCATTGAGCATGTTTTCCACCTTCGATTGCTGAATTCAAAATGAATCATTATGGACATCCGAGATTAATATAGCAACGTTAGGGAGATCACCGGGCGAATGGATGAAGAACATTCAAATATGATCTCATAATTGCAACTAAATTTCCTCAACTTTTTGTTTTTCAGATTGGGTTCGACCTGATCTAAACTTGTGTTGTCTGGGACAGATGTCAGGAAATCCAACCCCAATTCAAATCCAATCTATATTATTATTACTATTGTCATTTAAATATTAGTACCTAATTTTTTAAACCAGCCTCAAAACTTTTTTGTCAACTTGAGCATAACTGAAAAAATTTGCATGGGTTGGACATGGTTGTAATAGTCACACAAATTTTTGGTCCACCAATGTATAGAAAAAAAGTGTTCAAGATTTATTTAACCATATAGAAAACAGTGAGGTATTAAGAACAAAAATTTGGGAACAAGGAACTGCAACTGGTAAAAACGAAAGTACACTGTAAATAAATAATTTAAAACTGGTATTTTATCCGTCCTCAAGCATCTCTCTGTGGACATGCATGCATGAGGTGCTGCAGTATTTGTAATTATACCTGTGAAAAGGAACTTTACCGACCAATGACGCATTACAACATGAACAATTAATATCAGTTGTTACCACCCCCTTGGGCTGTGAACTGCTTGGTGCGACGTTCGTGCCAGACCATTGAGCATTGAGGGCTGCAATCCTTCTCTCGGCAGCAGCAGCTCTCTTTTCCCTCTCCGCAGCTTGTGCCATTTTCAGTTCCTCCTGATTAAAAGAAAAGAACACTTCAGTTCTTGTTGTTTGAATACTTCTGACTGGATAGTACAAAGGGGCTGATGGTTTTGGAAAAAATTCCATAGAAGTGATCAGATGAGTACGAGCACGCCTGCATGGTGTGCTGCAGGTTGAAACTATAATAACTCGAAACAAAGTAAAATGGAACATAAAAGAAGAGAACTTAGAGATCTAAAGGTTTAAACCAATGTACTTTTTGGTGCATTTCATGTGAAGACACAATTGACCAAAAAATTCAATCAAACCTCTTTAGATATGTGTGCTCCAGTACGAGATTGAGACTGTCCTTTAATGCCTGAGATAGTGGCCACCTGTTTCTCTGAGGCTTTTGGAGCAGTCTGGGATAGAGCAGCCTCAGTCTGCAGATTGATATTAAATGTTGTTGAAAACAAAATCAGATTATGGAAACAGAAAAGATAAAAAAGAATTTTTCTTAAAAAAGGAATGTTATATAAACAGGACCTTCTGATGAAATAATCTAAATATAAATTGTGGAAGACAGAAAATTTGTATATAATATATGAACAAAGAATATATATATACAAATTTGCAAATATTGTTCGTTGTCCACTTCCAGCACCGAAAGTGGTCAGTACAAATTTCTTCCAGAAGCCTATAAAAAATTTATAGCATTTATCGAAGTCCATTTTGAGTCATACAAGTATTCATAAATTTCATAATCATTTTCCGTGTAACCTGTCTTCATCTTCTGGGTAATGACATGTTCTTCCAAAACAACAAATTTTGCATTGACTACAACAGGAATTAAATGGAATCACTTCATTCCAAGGATATCCTAAATGCCCTTTCAAAAAAATTAATTGCAGAAATTTATAATTTTAAAACCACAAAAGCTTTGGACCAACAAAATTTTCATTAATATCCAAGCAAACATCAGCACTGGAATAGAAGAATGTGCACCTGAGCCTTCTTTTCTTTTGCTTTGCGTAATTTCTTCAATTCTTTTGCTCTTGCTTTCCTCTTGGCATCTTTCTCGGCCTGAGAAACCGGATAAAAGTTGTGTCAAATATTGGAAAAAAGAAACGGAATATCAATATTAAAACACAAAAGTTGGCACTAAAATCACATGAACAATGCCATAAATCACAAAATTCCCCATCGTAGTAAACCCACCTTGAGTGGTTTTCTCTTTGCCTTAAATTGAAAAAATAACCAGCATTCTCTCTGTATTTTAAAAATGCGCCCACCACATTATTCATTATGGATATGCAATGAATGTAACTTTCTCTATATTCTCATACAGAAACTTGATATTTCTAATGAATCACTTTCTTAAAAAAATTTAAAAGTTGATCATTTAAAGCTTCCTAAACTGTTAGAAAGCAGTCAAATCATTGGCCAAACAAATGCAGGAAATATAACTCTGCTTTGTCTCCCCGATGGAAATTTAATTTATATTCACTGAAGATATAATGATAATTTGAAATGGAAAATGCGAAGGTATAAATTTAAATCAATGGTCACAAACCCATATTTTTTCAATAATTTTGGGATATTAGTAATCCACTTTAAAGACGTTTGCTAAAATCCTGTTTTAGATCCCACTGCTTTGGCATGTAAAGTATCATAAATTTTCTGTGCATATAAGCAGAGACAAATAATAGGTGATGAAATATACTTCATGAGAACCAATTCAAGAGCCAAGATAATCCCTACTCAGTTTAGATGTCAAAGGAAGTAAATAAAAAGATCATTTGAATCAAACAAGCTCAGTTCTTCAAATTAGAGATGCTGAAATTATAGGGGTATAAAGCTGTAAATCAATCAGTAAAGAATTTCAGATTCACCTGCTTGGAAGCCTGAGATTCTTCCAATTCTTTCGTCAATGCACTGGGCACTTTAGCAACTTGCCAATCCCATTTGTCAAGGTTTGAGGCCATGAACCGCCTAAAAGTGTTCCTGACTTCCTTCTCGGTTGCAAGCATATATGGAGTCCGCCCCCTTTCATCTGTAATGCAAGGATCCAAACCCTGTTCTAGGAATTCCAATACTTTTTGGGCATTGCCAGACTTTGCTGCCTCATGCAAAGGCGTTAATGTGCCAATTACTTCACTCTCACTCTCACTTGATATGGACAAATCAGCAATTTTTTTGACACCTAAAGAAGCTTCAGAAGTTTCCCTACATTCCAGATTATCCCCAGCTTTCTCTTTGCCGGACACTTGGAAGCCATCGCTCATAATGCTTGCACCTAAAAGTGAATCCACTTTGATGAGAGGTTCAGTTTCCTCATCTACCTCATAGGAAACTTGTGTCAACAAATTATATATTCGCCGTGCTTCCTTTAAGGTAGGTCTTCGGACAGCTAATGGAACATTACGAACAACTCGATGCTGACAACTAAAATATGGTTTTTCTCCATCAAAAAGCAGTTGCCGATTGTTTGAAGGAGCATAAATGTAAATACAAGAGGAAGCATCAAAATAAGGCTTCCAAGCAACGAATAATTCTTGAATTTCCTAGTAATTGATGAGATGAAGATAAGTCAACAATTCTAGATTAAGACAGTGAATCAGAAGGAACAAATCTACCAAACTTGAACATTGACCTCTGGCTAAGGCAGTAGGAAAGAACTTTGACATTTGAAAGCATCATTAAAAAATAAAAAATAAAGAAAAAGAAGAAGAAGAAGAAGATGACCTCTGGCTAAGGCAGTAGGAAAGAACTTTGACATTTGAAAGCATGAAGAAGTTAAAATAGCCAAGGAAAAAAAAAAAAGACACACTCAAGCAAGAACAAAAATTGTGATCTTTTATTATATATCGTTTGTGTCATTAAGTGTGAAATGAATAAGTGTTAGAGATGGTATAACATGTGCATTCTAGTCAGTAGGTGTACAGATAAATGCAGGAAAAACTCTGTTAGATAAACTAAAATATGGTGCATGTGCACACCACATTTACTCTTTCATGTCAACATTCTACCATTCAATACCTTTTTCAGTGCAAGTTCATTATATCGACGAAGTGACGCTCCAGCAGAATGTGCAGTCTTGCCACTTGCATCTTTTGATGACTGTTTTTTGCCAGCCTTGGCCCTTACAACGTATCTACACAGAAAAGAAAAATGACGACATTTCAAACAAAATTCCCTCATGCTTTCTTCCTTCCAAAATAGTGAATAATGATATGCAATAAAACAACCATACATACATCAGTAGAATTCCATCACAAGTTAAAGCAAACTGCACACTAAATGAAAATAATAATACAAACAATAAATCAAAAGATGATCGAATGCAGGCTTGTGATCCCAGTAAGGGCTTCAACAAACCAAGGACAGCCATATTTTAACTACGCAATGTCCAATAATTCTCTGAAAGGACAAATTATTGATTTAAAATATAATCAATGCGAAGGAAAGAGAACAAAACTCAAGAAAGCTTTTATTTCCAAAATTTTGGATTTTTTTGTCATTCCATAATATATAAATAATAGACATTCATGACAATACAATAGCATTATATGCCAACTCATATGGCTAACGGCAATACAATAGCATCATACCCATGCGTAACAACTAAAAAAGACAGACGAAGTATTTAGTTCACCGAAAACCGGTATACCATGAATATAAGGCACATTATTGATTATACAGTAAGATGTCAAAAGGAAGATGAAAGATAAACACTGACCTGTGGAATGTTTTACGAGCAACAACAGAATTACCATCAAAGACACATCCAGCAAAGTGCCCACCACTTACAAGCAACACAACTCTTAAATGGGTATTATTTCTAGGCTCATGGATCAAATACTTCAATTTTTCAATCATTTCCCTCTCCGTCAAGTAAGGAATGCACCCGCCATTGTCCATTGCAACACTTTTATCCTTCTCAAATGAAATATTCTCGGATTCATCCAAAAGCAAACTTTTCAAAACTGAAACCCTCTCCCCTGTCTGCAGATACACAAATATTTTATTTTTACCACTTTCAATCAATCTCCTATGTACATCATTGCGGAGGGAGGATTCCTTGTCATCTTCATCTTCTGATCCTGATATACTCGATACGTCATAGTCTTTGAAAAAAGAATCACAGGTTGAATCATCAAAATCCTCCTCCTTCACAGTTTCCTTTCCAGCAATACTTAGCTTTATCTGAGATCACACGGTGACAAGTAATGCACTGTAAGTGGAATAAGAATACAATGCTTTCAACAATTTCCAATGTCAACTGGACGCAATATGACAAGGGAACATAGCAAAAATGGAGAATTTACATAAGATGAAGCTGCAGGAAACAAATGCAGCCAATATACTCCCAACCAAATTCATTGTGCTGCAATTGCATCGATAATTTGGTGTTTTCCAAAACCTTCACACAGATTATAAACTAAAAGGGGTGTTGTTAGAGGCGAACAATACACAGACCTAGCTTTCAACATTAGGAAAATACCCCCTGATTTGAATCTGCATTTTACTCTTGAAGCTCAAGCTTTTACTTTATCAAGGCATACTGATTTAAATGTGCATGATACAAAAACAGAACCCAAGCTCATATCCAATACCCTTTCCAGATTGAATATTACCAAAAAGTACTGACCGTGAGATAAAAAACAGAGTGCAACAGTTTGCTTCGTCCAACACAGCCATTATAATGAATCACATTAGCATGCCAAAATTATTAAACAATTCACACAACATGAGCTGAATCCAAGCTAGTAAAGCCACCCTGTTTCCTACTTGCTTTGCTATGCCAAAAAGTCAACAATAACCGGGAACACTCCAGTGCAGTTTTCCGTTGAATGCAAACATGTTCATACTATTTCAAGGTAGCTCATCTGTTTTAATCCAATCCTAACAATTCGACATCCACATGGAATATCATATTTAACTTCATATTGGATGCAAATATGTTCATACTATTTCAAGATAACTCGTGTTTTTATCCAATACTAACAATTTCAAATCCACATCGAATATCATATTTAACTTAATAACTCCAAAAACCCAAATTTTCATCTCAAAACAGATCAATTTCAGAAAATTAGTCAAACACTAACCTAAATCCTCAATAAGTAGCAAAAGATATCACCTTTTATTAAAAAATACAAAGGCATAAGATATCACCTTTTATTTAAAAAATACAATGGCGTATTATGGTAGTTTCGAATATTTATTAATTTTCAGCAAATTAAGTAATGATTTGCAGTGAAGGAGTAAAAAAAAAAAATCTAAATTCATCAAACACTTATCTTATAACAATAGATATCACCTTTCATTAAAATAAAACAAAATAAAATGGCATATTATAGCGGTTCCGAATATTGACTAATTTTCAGCAATTAAGTAATGATTTGCAGTGGAGTTAAAAAAAAAAATTAAAAAAAAAATCTAAATTCACCAATGACTTATCAAATATTAATCATTAAAAGTATGAGTAGAGAGAGAGAGGGGATTTTTTTACGTTTAATCGATGGATGTCAGACTTGAAATGAGAACGTTGGTCTTGGAGCGATTCGAACTCGGCCTTGCAGTTATTGCAGGACCATTTACAAAGATCATTCTTTGAGCTTCGCTCTTCGGTCTCTGCTTCATCGTTTTCTAGGGTTTTGGCAGTAGAATTTGGAGGTGTTTCGAGTGACTCAGAAGAGGAAGCTGGAGATTGAGAGAGACGGCACGAATCGAAGAATTCGGAGGGGACGTCGAAGATGGAACGAGGTCGTTTGTCTGGATTGGTGTTGCTGCTGGTACTGGTGTGACGAACACGAACCTCGCTTGCCATTGTCGTCGCTTCAAGTTCCTCTTTCTTTGGGTTCGTTGATATATCGGATTACGTTGCTTCATACGACGTCACTTCGTGACATTGTTATTACTTTTCACCTTCCTATTTTGGTTCAACTAAGGCTTAACCCGATATGTAAAATATTCCACCATAATCAAAACTTAAGTTGACCTCAACCTTAATTACTCGATTCGATTCGACCTTAATTTGTTTTAAAATTTTTAAATTTGAGTTAAAATTTTATATTAAAAAATTAAATTAATTTTAATTACTCGTATAGCCGGTCTCACTTAAACTTTAATATAATATTAAGTTCGCTCAAATTTGCAAACAAATTTTCCTGAAATTAATTCTCCGAAGTGTTAACATCCAATAAAATAAGATTTAAAGAAATGGAGTTAAAAAGAAAAAGTGATTATTATTTAAATAATATTATATTTAAAATGATATAGGTATACAAATAATGTTAAAATTTGGATTCAGGATTGATGATACCTCAATTTAAGTCCAAACTTAATTAAGTTTAAGTTATTATTTTTTAATTAAGTCCAATTTTAATTATAAATATAACTATCCAAGTTTGGGAAAAATTATATTGGACTCGATTTGACCGCTCAAATTAAGATTTAAAGAAATGGAGTTAAAAAGAAAAAGTGATTATTATTTAAATAATATTATATTTAAAATGATATAGGTATACAAATAATGTTAAAATTTGGATTCAGGATTGATGATACCTCAATTTAAGTCCAAACTTAATTAAGTTTAAGTTATTATTTTTTAATTAAGTCCAATTTTAATTATAAATATAACTATCCAAGTTTGGGAAAAATTATATTGGACTCGATTTGACCGCTCAAATTGCACTTATGAACACGTTAACCGAAGTGTTAGGAATGCGGATGCTTTCGGCCCAACACCAGTCGAAGTGTTGGGCTTAAAGAACGTTAGTCATTGCAATATATAGAGTGGCTTAAATAGCATTAGTAATTGCTTCCAGTTTCATATATCTACACAATTGTTGGCCTAGGATTCATTCACACAAAAGAAATACAATTCTTGTTATATGATGTTTCAGTTCTATCTTAATCTAATGATTAATAAAGAAAAAAATATAAAAAGATTAAATCGATATTGTTATTGATTACTGTATCCCATCATTGATTTAAATACTTTTGACAAGAGAAATTTCATCTTTATATGATACTGATTAAGAGTGGGCATGAGTAATTGTAATCGCAAAATAAAATCATCAATTGTAGCATTACTCTTAATAAAAAGAGTTCATGAATCATCCACATTTTAACCGGTTCCTATGATGCCGGAAAGGAACTTAAGCAACACTACATGGAACTTTGGTTTGAATGGTGATTGCTGTATAACCTTCAACTTTTCAAAACTGTTTCGAGTTCCAAGCAAAGCAAAATGGATGTGCGTGCATTCCTCCTTGGGTCAGTTCCAAGGGGCAAAATTGACAAGTGGTATTAGTCAAGAAAGGGGATTAAGGCTTCGTTTGTTTGAGCGTCGAAAAATATTTTATATGTTTTCTGATGTTTGGTCATTGTAAAATATTTAAGAAGAACAAAAATAATTTATTCTTCAATTTTTACAAATTATTTTACACATCCCATTCGATGAACTCGACCTCAACTTCGATCTAAACCTTTGCCAAACACTTAAAAATAAAAATAAATATAGAATATTTTATATCAGAACAAACAGAGCCTAAAAGCATAAGTTCTTAATCCTTTTTTCTTTTTTTTTGTATATATATTTTTTAAATTTAAACTTCTATACTTTACATAGACAAATATATATACACTAAAATAATAAGAATATCAAGAGATTAACACTTTCTGGAGCAACCAATAACGCGTATTGTGCCGTCCGGGCGGATCCAGACCTTTAGGCAAGAAGGGCAAGACTGAAAATTTATAATAATTTTAGGGAACATTAGTAATATTTTATGGGTATAATTTTTTTTTTAAAAAAACATGGTGTATTAGTAAAAAAAAATCAGGGGCCCCCTCACTTGCACATGGGGCCGTCCCTGAGAGCCATTGTTCAATGGTTCATATTTGCCACGGGTAGCTCATGCAATTGCTAAATTGGTCAAATGCTCGTTTTAGAAGCCTTTGTAAGGTGTGTTGGGACTTGGGCCTGTGTTTGTCAGGGAAAAAGGAAATTTGTGTTTTTTTTGGCCATAACATGAAAGAATTGAAAAAAACATAAAAAAAGAAAAGAAAAAGAAAGGCTATATTCTTCTTCCTTTTCCTCTTCTTTTCAAAACCAAACAGAACACAAGAAGGCTATTCTCTATTCAGAGCACAATTGGAAGGTTCTAGAATTAACATGGAGACAGAATTGGCTCCCACTCCCCCATCCACCAGACAATTTTAGTTTACTGCCATAATCTGGACTGTCAAATCGGTGGCTCCACCAATTTATAACCAAAAGAATTCCCCCCATATGCTTTTTCACGTACTTATTATTATTTTTTTCTTCTTATTTTATTTTAAATATTGAGATTAATAAATGGCGTCTGAAGACCCAATATTACACTCTTTTCTGATTATATCATATGCACACTAAAATGAAAAAATTATGTTTTACACGGACTAAGCACAATTTTAATTGGGGAATTTTTAACTATTTAATGGAATGGATGAAACCCGGTGTTAATATCTTTAATTGTATCAGAGGAATAAAAATTCTTTCAACTACGTAACATGGTTTAAAAAATAAGTTTAAACATAATTATCCATAATGCGTGTATAAGTAAGATTTAAAGCTCATTTATTAAACACTGAACAATATTTTCAATCTTCTCAACTAGACAATAAAGTTCGCCAAGGTGAAATAACTCATGATTCAACTAGTTAAGACCTCCGAACATATCTAATTTAGCTAATTAAACACAGGGACTTGAAATTCGGCTTGATTTTCGAGTTTTTCACAAAAATTGATCTATCTATCATGATAATAATCGTGTGTGAATAATTCTACAATTGCCGATGATTAATGAGTAAAAGTTCAAGTTCAAATTTAGTTTCATTTATATTAAGAATGTAGTCTCTCCGTCTCAAAAATAATAATGTACCCTCTTTGTCCTAAAAACAAACACTATTGGAGTAACACTTATGTAATAAAGACATAAAAATTCAAATAACAACAATTATTTCTTTGAGAATACAACAATTTATAACACCATTAAATATGATATCGTATTTCTCGATTTAATGATAACTAACACAAAAAAGACCATTAAAAGGACCACCCAAACACTCCCTCACCCTCACGTGCAACACAACCAACTCAGGATTCTATCACCAATTCACCATCATCAAGCCCAACAAATCACTAGATTAAATATAATAGAACGCGAAACACTCAATAACCCCACTCTTAAAGTACGCAGCTAATTAATTAAACCCTATAATAACAAAATATTAATAAAATGAAAAAATGAAAATTAAAACCTACTAAGCCAGTCATCGATAGAAACACAACGATAACTCGAAAAAAGAGAAAAAAAGAAAAAAGAAAAAACGAAGAAGAAAAAAGTAGGATGTACTACTTAACAAATTAACAAACCTGATTAAAATTACGATCTAGGACAATAAAACTGCAACAATAACTGACGCAGACACTGTGACTACGGTTTTCAACAATGCCGGAGCTTTTACGTCGCCGGCTGCAATATCCGAAGTGCTGTTCTCCGACTCAGCTGCTGGTCCCTCAGCCGGAGCTCTTTCCGGCGTCGACATCGGCGGCGCTGGAGGAGAAAACACAGGGGACGGAGCATTCGCATGTGCAGGGCTCGGAGAAGTAGTGGCCAGAGCCGGCGCAGGCGATGTCACAGGCTCTGGCGTCGGTGCCGGTGCCGGAGATGGCGATTCCCCGAACAACTCGGTTGGGAGAAGAACACTATCGACGGTGAAAATGCATAGCGGCGTCGTGTCAATCACGGTGGCGGCGACTCGGGACGAGTCAACTCCGGTGTCGAGAGTGACGGAATCACCGGCGGTGGAAACAGACAAATCGAACTTCCCGGCTCCGTTAGTCGCCAGCGTAGTAATCGGATCCTTCGTCGCCTTCAACGTTCCAATCGGCGTGTAAGTCGCCAATGCATGATACTGTAGGAGCGAGATCACCTCAGCGTTCGTGAGCTTGGTCAGATCTGGCATTCCCGGAGCCTTGAACGCCTCATCGTTCGGCGCAAACACTGTCAGACCTTTATCCAAAGCCGTCTGATACACCTTGATCACACCAGTCGATATAATCAACGACGCGAACGTCTTACACCCAGCCTTCTCCAACAACGCCGTGATGTTCACGTCGGAAGCCGACGGCGCATCCGCCGTCAAAATTCCCGGCGCGACGATCGGCTTGCTGATCTCGATCACCGAGATATTGTACGGCACTTGCTTCACCGATTTGGTGTAAGTGGAGTCGAGAGCCGAACCGGGAGCGGCCGAACCGAAGCCGACCTTGCCACCTTTGAGGTCGGTGATGTTGACCAACCCTAGGTTTCCAGGGGCATTTCCGGTAGTTTGGAACAATGTGGTGGAGAGGGTGGTACCTTTGGAGATCTGGTGGAGCTTCTGGCCGTCGTAGTAGTCGAGGAGGACGTGGAGGGCGAGGGCTTTCTTGATGACGGAGAGGGGGTGCTTGGCTGCGAGTGCTGACATTTCGCTGTTATTCAGAGCGAGGATAGTGATGGTCTGGCGGGTGTTGATGTCGTCGGCGAGCCTCGTTTGAGTGAGGTAGCTGTTGAAGAGACTGTAGTCTGGAAAAGGAGAGAGAATGTCTGTGATGTTGTGAGCTTTGGTGGAAATGGCAATGAGAGAGAGAGTGAGGAAAAGACAGAGGTGTACTGCACCCATGGTGAATGTTAGAACAGGGCCAGCACTGAAAGTCTGAAACTAGAGAGAGAGAGAAAAGGAAGAGAGAGAGAGAGAGAGAGAGATGAATGGAAATGGAATTGGGAGGGGTTTTAATTTGTTTGGGAGGGGTAAAGAGAGTAGGGTTTGCGGTTAACTAGAGTTTAACTAGGGTTAGTAGCAGTAGTGTTTTGTCTTTTTGGACACAGCTGGAAATCCAAAGTTGTTGGGAATTGGCATTATAACCTTCTTTTTGTGAAAAGACGAATATACCATTTTCTTCGTTAAGGGTTTGTTAACCCTAAATTGTCGTTTGTGTGGTTTCCGTTTAATTAATGGTGTCATTGCATGCTTAAGACCCCTTTACACTTGTTTGCACCACCTGGTTTTTAGTATTCAGATTTCAGAACTATCTTTTAACTCATTTTTGGTTGTGAATAGAGTGAACACACAATGAAGTAGTCTATTACTTTCATATATTCCATATAATTTTATTAATGAGTAAGTGCCCCTAGGGGCAGTCACGCCCTTCCGCAATCCGCACTTTTTATTGTGATAATTTCTATCATTGATGTTCATTCATGATATCTCCTACTTTTATGAAAATTAAAAAAATAACTATTTTAAGACAAAATTGCCTTTGTCCCCCTAGCGCACTCATTATTAATTTGTGAAAGTGATTTGTTTTCATAGCAAACAAACATTTCAAGGAATGTATAAAAGTAAATTTCACTTTGGTTTAGTTTAGTACTCGTCTCACTACCTTTTGACTTACACTTCGGATTAGTTGGTTGATTAATATAATGCTATGTTTGCTATGTTTGGGAAATACTGAGTCAGCACTTACATCATTCTAAGCTCAATCTTAACATAAGTCCATTAAGTTTAGACTGAATTAGAAGTTAGGGGGGAGAGGGGAAGGGGAATCGAACTCTGGACCTATAAGGTGGGGGCACTAAAAGCCTAACCCTTTACCATTCGAGCAACACTGCTACCCCTAGATTGGGTTTAAATTGCCAAGATCACATTTAAACCTAAATTTGAACTGAAATAGAATTAAAAATGTTCAACTCAAACCTAGTTCTAAATAACAAAAACAAATGAATGAATGATTCAATTATCCGTCTCTTTCAGAGTTTATAGATTGAACATCATTATTCATATGAATTTGAGCCTCAAAACAATCACCTTGTATAACCAAACATAAGATTGTTTCAGAGTTTATAGATTGAACATCATTATTCGTATGAATTTGAGCCTCAAAACAATCCCCTTGTATAATCAAACGTAAGATACATTTCGAATCCTCTCCCTCCAATCCATTCAAAATTGAGTTGAGTTCGAACCAAAACACATCCCTAGTTTTGCCTTGCTTTACATGGAGGAGCCAGCTTCAATATACGAAGTGTAATTATCATGTTTAACTGCCATTTTGTATGAATTTATTTTACAAATTTTTGATTGATTTAATTTAGATTCATCTACCCTATCGTAATTATAATATTATTCTAAATTTACTTATAAATATTTCTAGGCAAATTTATATCCAATTTTTTGAATAGGATCTAAAACTCAGGCATTGAATACCATGTTTACAAGTTCAAACAAAAATCACTAGAAATCATTCAAAAATCCAAACTATGGATTGCGGATTAAAACAGATGTAGCTACATTTCGGGAAATCTTTTAGTTTATACACTGTCGGCAACGCTATAACACCATTACTAAGTGGAACATAATGTAGAATGTCCTCTGTTATGTGCCATGTGAGTTTTGTGACAACGTGACCCAACCCTAATTCAATTGTGTAAATGTTTGTCTCAAAGGTCGCTTAAACAGCATCTACTTCATAAATGACTTGTAGCATTAGGTTATATACCCCAACAAATAGTAGCCCTATGCAGGTACAATACTTTTTATGGGTTAAAGGCCAGCGTCAGAAGACAAGATGTTCACTTGGACTATGCAAATGAGTTGATCCAAAAAAGTTAATAGGCGTTTATGGAGTACCACTCAATAGCTTAAGCTTTTGAATCTAAAGAGAATTGCTCGTTTTGGCCACTTACAAATGTCGATAGACATTTTAGAAGCTTGGACATATATAGTCTAAGAAGTGTCCATGCTAACATGGCTCCACATTTTAAGCGTCCCTACTTAAAAATATGCAAAATCTTTGGATAATACAACTCAAACCAACATCTCATAGACTCATCACTGTATTTTAGACAATACAGTACTTAATGTTTCTCCATGTCTGTGTAGCCCCATAAAATCTGCAAATATATTTTGGTTCTATAAATGCAAATCTATAATTCTCAGCCAACCATGAACAGCTTGGAGCAAACTATCAAGGTTGCATGTGCAAATAATTAATACTCTATGATACAAAACATTCTTGGTTGAATCAGAATCATGTCAATGTTCGACATGATCTTTGTGCAGAGTAAAAATCATGACAAGAGATTGAAGGCTACAAGATTATGCTTAACTTGGCAAATTATTGGTACTACAGTGAGAAGATCCTCTGTGGTAACAGCACCGTGCTGTACTGCAGTGGATGGACATGATCACTCACACGGTCACACGTGTGGCATCTGTTACTGTAGAGGATCCGAACTTACCACTACGATATTGGACATATACATTCAACTATGCTGACTCTTATGAAAGAGTTGGGCCAGAAATTAAAATTGCTATTCAGAGCAGGTACCAGTGGGATTAGCATTCTTAATTATCCAAGGGTGCTCCATGATTTTATGAAGGGAGAGCCTTTTTGAAGAGTCCTTCACTAGAAGCTGCACAAATTTCAGGATACATTCTCAGAATGGCAATTAAATCGTTCTATTTGTCCCATTTCTTCTGAATCACATGATAATTAGGAGATACTCATTAACAAACTCACCCGGCTAATGAGATTTTTAGCCTCTGTAGAAATACAAGGGGTGGAGGGGAAGCTGAGGTCAACCTTCATAATCCTGTAAACAATTCAATATTTACTTCATTATCGATCTCTACTGTAGCAATTGATAATGTGATTTATGTCACCAAGCAAAGCAAAATGATATCCGTTCCTTACCTTCTGAATGTATCCTTCTGACTTTCAGCCTCAAAAGGAGGGACACCATACAAAAACTCATAACAGAGGACACCCAAAGTCCAATTATCGACTGCATAGTCATGAGCTTTGTTTTCAACCATTTCCGGTGCTAGATAATCCAAAGTTCCACACATGGTGTGCCTCTTGCTTCTTGACTGTACTGACCATCCAAAATCTGCTATCTTTAGTCGACCCTACAATTGTACAAATGCAGTTAAGTTCATTTGGAAATTAAAAAAAATATATGGTAATTAATTTTTTGATATGTCACTGAACTTTTAGACTACTAGCATGTTTGGACAAGTGAAAGTATGACCATTAGACTTTTACTTCTTTCAACCAAATTACTGAGTGCTTGCATGCAAAATTTAGATGGAAGAAAGGACTTCAGAAAATACTACTTTGCGAGCAAATTGTCAAATTATTTTCTGCTAAGTTAATGCTTAGCAGATGGAACAAAAATCTTGGTTGAAACCTAATTAGACAGACATCATTTGTTAGAACATGAATTAAAATGTAGTAACAAAAATGCTAGTTGTTATATACAAACATGTCAAACGAAATTGGTAGCATTCCTATACATAGTGAGCATAACACAACTGGTCTTGTTCATTCAAATAATAGTGACAAAGCCATCTCCTTCTAAGCCATTTGACAGTTTCCGGTCTAAAATGTATCCACAAAGTGTGTGTGAACTAAATTTAAGGCAGAAATAAAAAAAATTTCAGTTTGCAGTTCTTACTGTTCTTTGAATTTGAGGAAGATCTTAGAACATTAGACCATATTGACATTTAATTCTAGAAAAAAGTAGGATGGATATTAAAGCACATAATTATTTTGGTAAGAAGGCCAGCAAATTAATAAAAGATAGAAAATGAATGTTTGCTGGAAATGGTCCAGAAATATATCAATTAGAGGATTGTCTCAAGTTTCATACAACAAACAAACTAAACCCAATAAATGCTGGTTCAAAGAAAACAATATCAATTTAAGGATTGCCTCAAGTTTCATACAACTAAACCAAACCCAATAATTATATTAGACTCCAATTAGGCTTTAATTATTTCAACCAAATTACGGAATGCTTGCTTGAAAAATTCAGATGGAAAAAAGGACTTCAGAAAATACTACTTTGCATGCAAATTGTCAAAACTTTTTTCTACCAAGTTAATGCTAAGCGGATTGCACAAAAGTCTTGGTTGAAACCTAATTAGACAGACATCATATGGTAGAACATACATGGAATATTTCTCGTGGTCTCAAAACCCAAATTAAAATGTAACAAAAAAGCTAGTTGTTATATGCAAACATGTCCTACAAAATTGGTAGCATTCCTGTACCTAAGGAGCAAAACACAACCGATTTGGTTCATGCAAATTACAGTGACAAGGCCATCTTCTTCTCTGCCATTTGACAGTTTCTGGTCTAAAATGAATCCACAAAGTCTGCGTGAACTAAATTTAAGGCAAAAATAAAATAGAATTCAATTTCCAGTTCTTATCTTTCTTCTAATTTGAGGAAGATCTTAAAACATTAGACCATACTGACATTTAATTCTAGAAAAAGTAGGTTGAATGTTAAAGCATAATAATCTTGGGAAGAAGGCCAACAAATTAATAAAAGATAGAAAATGAAAGTTTTCTGGAAATGGGCCAGAAATATATCAACTAGAGGATTGTCTCAAGTTGCATACAACAAACAAATAAACCCAATAAATGCTGGTTCAGAGAAAACAAAATCAATTTGAGGATTGTCTCAAGTTTCTATTGCATACCTCATGATCAAGTAACAAGTTTTCTGGCTTAATATCCCTGTGGATCACATCCTTCTCATGACAATATACCAAAGCCTGTGCAATGCTCGCAATGTACTAGTTTTCACAAAGAACAAACACAAACAACTAAAAACCATATAGTAATGACAACAACAAACCAAAACAAGCCATAAAATCCACAAATGAGCAAGAACAATAATTACAATAAAGAGCGAGAGGCATAATCAAATTTAACAATAATCATCATCATCATCCTCCTCAACTTTTTTCCAAATAAATGGGGTCGGCAACATTAATTCTCTTTCTCCATTCTATTATATTTTACCCCATGTCTCTCCTTTAAGATTTAATGTTTTAAAATAATTTTTAATTACAGCATTCCATGTTAGTTTTGGCCATCCTCACTTTCTCTTACTGTCTTTGCAAACTACTCTTCTCTTTTAACGGGGGCATCAACAGGTCTACGTTCTATGTGTCCATACCACTTTTTCTCACTAATAGACGCTATTCCTAGAGTCTCTTTTTACATTTTGATTAGTAACTCTTAACTTTCTCTCCTATCATCCACCTCAATATCTTCAGTTATGTGAATGTACTGTTTTTTTTTTAAAAAAAAGGCCAACACTCTGCCCCATATAATATGGCCGGCCTAATGACCGTCTTTAAAATATTCCTTTTAGCCTAATTGGTATTTTTTAAAAAACTTTTTATTATTATTACTATTTTTTATCACATAGAACCACTAGTTTGTCTACATTTAAATCAAATTTGACAATAAGCAAAACATAAAATCATAACATAATACATTGTACAAATAAAAGTTCCAACATACTGTATGTGTATATATACATGTATGTAGAGAGAGATCTGAAGCAGAGAAAGAGTAAAAATTCTAATAAAGCACAAATTATGTATATATGTGTATATATATATATATACAGAAATAGAGGGAGAATTTGAGAGAGAGAGAGTGAGAGGTGATTACAGTGGCGGCATGTTTCTCAGTAAGATGACCAGTTTTTCTGAGAAGTCTATAAAGCTCACCACCGTGAGCATACTCCAAGATGAGGTAGATTCGATCATCGTCATGAAACCAACCGTAGAGTCGCAGAACGTTCGGGTGACGGAGACTGGTCTGAATTTCCATCTCTCTCCTCAACTGGTTATGCAATCTGTACTTCTCGATCTGCTCTTTGAATATCATCTTCAACGCCACTATGTACTTGCTCTGTCTCAAATTCCATTCCAAAGAAACAAATCAAAATCATCAAATCAAAAGAAAACCTCACATTCCTCTCTCTCTAGCAACCTAATTCTCTCTATACATATATATATATACCTTTGATTCACGGGCGAGATAGACGCGACCGAATTTGCCCTTGCCGAGGGGTTTTCCGATCTCGAAGTCTTGTAATGACCATTGTTTTTTCTGTTGTTGTTGTGGTTTTTTCCGTTGAAATTTGGAAGTCATTTGGTGTGGTTTTGGAAATGGAAAAGGAAGAGGAAGAGGGAAAGGGAACAAATTTGGGTTTGCTTCTCGAATCAAGTAGGAGGGACGTTGAGGGTTTTCAAATTTGGTGGGTTTTTAACTTGTTACCGGTTCTGCAGGGACAGTTTTATGATAAAGTAACTGGATTAAATAGAAAATACCACTAGTAGCTTCATAATGAAAGTTTTTTAAATATTAAATAAAAAAGTTTTTAAATATTAAATATTTGGATGGAGAATGTATTCTGTATGAGATGTATAATTTGTGTAAAAGTTTTTTTTTTTCTTCTTTTTTTTTTTTTTTTTTTTTTTTTTTTTTTTTTTTTTTGTGTAAAAATAGGCATTTTAATGCTATAAAGTAAAAAAAACATTAGAAAATAATTTTTTTAACTCCCAATTCAACCACATACCCATGTTAACGTGGAAGGTAGGAACATGGTATTTTAGTGCCTGACAAAAAAAATTAAAAAATTAAAAAATAAAAATTAAATTAAAAAAAATTTTAAAAGAAGAAAAATGCCCAGAGTTCTTAGTAGCAGAAGATAGCACAATGTGCCAGTGATAATTTTTGGGGAAATGAAGATTAAATATCAGTGGTCACGGTTACTATTTTATTCTGATGTGATCTGATTTCCTTGGGGTTTTAAGAGTGAGCAAATGTGAAACAAAAACATACCCATATGAAATGAAGACGTTGGAAAATCCATTTCGTGCGCACATAAGACATTGATGTATGCTGGAACATCACGAGGGTTACTAGAGAAATGGATCCAACAATGGTAACCAAATGGTAAGTCAAAAAGCAGTGAATGCAAGAATTCTGTTTGTCAATTTCCTCGTCCACGGAAGGGAAGGAAAAAACAATTAGCCGGTTTTCGGTCATGCATATGAGAAAATTAAACTGGTTGATGTTGATTATGCGGGCATGTGGTATGTCCGGCTCACCCAATATCTACTTGCACGTGAGATTGCTGTCTTAAAAGGAGCACAAGCATAATCATACATGCAACTCCTACCTATCAACACAATCATATATAACAGCTCATACACTTGTATTAATTGAGCTTGAGCATATTTACAATCAAATTATTCCACAAAATCTCGAATGTGAAAAAGAATACAGAGAATTCAACTTCAGTTTAAGATTAAAGGTTGCAAGGCGTGACGTTAACATGTTGAAGCTGATCCCCCCATTCTCCTTTTCCTTTTTCACCATTTGCATTGTATTTTGTTGTTCTTGCTGTCCACGGCCAAATAATTTTAGGTCGAAGACTTTGTACATGCGACAACCTTACAGGCAATTAATTAGCGCCAAACTCCCGGTTCCACTGTTCAAGCTCTTCCCACTTGCTTCTCTGCAAACTGGGTCTAATAACAGTCTTTGCCTGCTGAAAATCTCCATATCTTAACGGCCTTACCTGGAACACATATATTGAACAACCATGAGTTTTCACTCGTCGAAAGGAAAAACTTGAAACAGACCACATTGACAACACAAATGAACCAAGGCAGGTAACAGTGACCCTGTCGCTGGAGGGAGACTTCGCAAATCTGAAATCACTTCCTACCTGTGATGTGGCCCGAATTTTGTTTAGGCCCAGGTTGCGTTGCGATCTGTTCTTTTCTCACGGGTTTTGAACCCATTTTAGGACTCTCTTGTAACCAAATATATAAGGGCGTTTATGGTTTGGAGTGGGTAACGAGATAACAATGAAAACCTCAAGGAGGAGAGAGAGATAGAGAGTGCTAGGGTTTGGGGGCTCAAACTTGTAATATCCTGATGAAATCTTTCGCCGGATTTTCACCGTGGATATAGGCTTTGCCGAACCAAGTAAATCTTTGTGTTTTTTGTGTGTGGCGTGTCAAAATATCTGCCGTGATTCGTGATTTATTTTTTGGTTGTCGTAACACTAACCAACCAAATTCAACCTTTCCAGTGATTTTTTGCCTTGAAACTAATACAATGGGAGGAACAAGAAAAACTCAGCAACTCGACTACCATTATAGTAGACTGAGGTTTCCATTGCCCATCATCTCAAGGAAACATGCATGAAAGAAAACCTCATATACAAAATAAAAGCTGACTTGGAAACTTTAGCCAATCTACTTTCTTATCTACCTGACACATACTTGGACTACATCCTGGAATCTAAAACTAGACGATCAGTATTGGATTCATAAAAAGAATAACAATCACTTGCTAGCTGGTGTTACCTGATTTGCCCTAACGGTGAGAATGTTTGCACCAAGCTCCCTGATTGGCATCATTGCAGCTTCTTCACACAAGGCTTGTAGATCACTTCCAGAATACCCTATGCATTGAGAGTAACCATACAATAAATTTCTAGTTTGACAAGAACAGAATACTTTTCGAAAGTATTGACCGAGTCCCCAAGAGGCCTAACTACAGTCGCTGGTACACAGGTACAAGCTGCCATTACATGCATGAAAAAGAAAAAAGATCTGACCCCATGTGACAAAGATGATTTGCCAACTGAGTGGACTCAAACAAACATTGCCCATCTGATTAGCACTCTATTCTAAAGCCTCGCTATTGAGAATAACCTTACCTTCTGTCTCTTCCACAAGTCTTTCTAGATCTCCACCTGTTGCAGGGGATAAAAATAATTGTTACTCCATTAAAATTTGTCCTGATATTCAATGCAGTCAAAGACATGCACAAATTAGTGTGTTAAGAGTAGTGCAGTGTTATTGCCATGGAGGATTTTTCTACTCCCTTAAAAATTTTGACCTGAATTTCTAGGAAATTGAACATTGCACTTGTTTAAACTTTTACCAAGGGAATTAATACTGACAGAGAAGCTTTTTATTTTCAGAGAAATTAAAGCACAATAACTAATCATTGCAACTCATGGCACATAAAAGGAGGTAACAACTCTTTAAAGCTTTCTTCTTTTTCTAAAAAGCACTTTTTCCTTTTATTTTTCTTTAAAATTCTTCAGTGTAATGTAAACTAGACTCTACAGAAACTTCTAACATGTCTTGAGTTAAAAATTATTTTAGAACTATAAAAGCTTTTAAAAAGAAATGAGGAACAGGCTATACCTAACTGACGTACGTGAACAACTACAGGCCATCTGCTTCATGATGTAAATTAATTACTGAGTGACAATAAGGGTTCATTCAGATCAAATTGTTTTGCATCCATGTGAGATAAAATTTGAAGAGTCTTACCAGGTAGGGAAAAAGCTTGGCCCTTGAGTTTGTGCTTTAAAAGAATTCTCCTAGCCTGTGCATCTGGCAAAGGAATGTATATTCTCTTTACCTGGTTCAGATTTCAAATTAAGGAATGTCACAGAGGATAGAAAATCAATTTATAAAAGAAAATTTTGAATACATGTCAACCATAAAACCCAAGATAATGTATAATTCTAGGTAAATAGGAACCAATCCATCAGTGCTCAGGCATTTTGTCAAGTCAAGGTGTCTGTCTGCTTAGCAAATGGTTGCAACAATTGATGTTCGACTCATCAAATTATCAAAGAATCCAAATCCAAACATGCCAAATGGTTTTGATACTGTACACTATCACCCTCAATCCCAAGACTGAATGATGAATGAAACATTAGGCCATCCCTCTATTCACCTTGAACCCAATTTTTGCCACCTTTTTTGTTGATATAAGGCTAGGCCGCTAGGGGTTCCATCAGCTCTCACATGAATTCCTAGGTTCATGTTGTTTAGTAGTCATCACCAAGGGGTGCCAGTTCCACCACAATATCAGGGGCAAAGGGCATCTGAAAGTATTAGGCTTAGCATCATTTAAAGGGAAAATGATGTGAAACTCCTTCAACTCTTGCATGAATTCCTAGTTTCACATTATTTATGATCATCAATATACTACAACAGGCCAATTGGGTATCTAGCAATATTAGCTAATCAGCCTTTGTACTTTGAGAAAGAAAAAATATTTCAAAAAGGGGAGAAATGAACTATAGGTACAGAACACAGCATAATATTGCAGTTAAATAAAGGCCATATTCAATCATACCAAGCACTTCACCTATCACTATCACAATTTTCTATAAAATATTAAAAACGCATAAAACAACATTTCATTAATAACAAATTCATGAGAAATACATTCCCAGACTAAAATCAATAAGCAACTCTTTCGCTTCAAGTGTTTAAACAACTACAGAAAATCCATGTAACATACTATTACTAACCAATCTCCTCAGAACTGCATCGTCCAATTCCTGTGGCTTATTAGTTGCACCTGCATTAAAATAGCAACAGTAAAATATACAATGATGTTCATGGGTCTAGGTATTGTTGAAATGAAAGAAAAAATACATTTTTCAGAATTAAGAACAAATACATTGATCAGCATACTAGTCTGAGAAAAATGTAATTGACGATGAAAGAAGAGGACCAACTAAAGCCAAAAAGAAGATGATCAAAGAAATTTATTTCTTCGCACTTTTGTTTATATCTATCTATGCATGTGTGCAAAAATCAAGTCTGAAAGACTGAAACTACAGTAAAATTTTCCATGATACCTTAACTTTTAAACAAGAAACAGCGTGTCCTCCAAGCAGAAAGGTACCTTCATCCTTCACTAACATTCTAAAACTTCAGGTTACAAAGTTCCAAAAAAAAATAACCTTATATAAATTGATTAACATTAAGCGATTTGATAATTACTTTATATAAGTTGATTCAATTACATTGGTCAGTGGGAAAAGGATTGATAAGAATCAAATCTGACGAGCTAAAAGGAAAGGTAGAAGCATGAAGAGAACCAAGTTATGATAAAAATGACAACATCACCTATAACTAAATAGAAGATTAGGCCCTAGAGCAAAATAGCATAAAAGGATTCATGTCATAAATCCCGAAAAATTGGGTTCTGGTCTTATTAACTTGAAATATTAAACTTACCAATGACAATTACTAGATCATCAGAATTTGAAGTCACCCCATCAAACTGAACTAGAAATTCTGATTTTAATCTTCTGCTTGCATCATTCTCATTAGCTGTTCTTGTAGACATGATACTATCTATCTGTCAACAACAAAGAGGTAAGATTGTTTTAGAATTATGTGACCCTAAAGAAACACAACAGATCATGTTTTGCTTCAATAACAAGAAAAAATGTAATCAAATATCAATATCTCTGACTTAACAAAAATATAAATATATATATCAATATTTCTGTACACCTTTTAACTAGTACTACTTTCAGCCATATCAGTGCAGTGGTGTTTAGCAAAAACAATCAAAACTCAACAACAAATATAAAGGCTGACAAAAGCAGAAAATAAGGCATTGAGAATAAAGAAAAATATAAAATGTTATTGGTTTGGAAACAAATGAAAACCTCGATAATAAACCACACCACATTATTGGGGACAGCAATAAATTCAAAGTATGTCAAGTTATAGGAAACACTCGTATAAATTATTGTAAAAGATCTATTTCTTTGTTTAGAAACATCATTGCCTGAAGCAGGTAACACTAGAAGCGGGGATATCACCACAGGAAAGTAAGTTTCTGGTTACTTATCAAAACAAAAAACGTAAGTTTCTGGTTGTGCTTTAAAATATCATCACCTTAATATAAAAGAAACAATAAAACAAAAGCAATGGGCCGTGAAATTTCAAATTAAATAAGATTAGCAAGCAAAATATCCTGACTTTAAAAAAATTAAAAACATAACAAAAATAGTGTGACACACTTGGTCACCTAGTTAGAATAAAAGACAATTATCTTCGAACAAGAAAACATCAATATTCTTGCTTACAATTAACAACTGTGGTTCCTAAAAAATCTAACTGATAACATGCTTACACAAAATATATATAAATAAATAAATAAAATTCAGATACGTGTTATTAATGTAAAAAGAAAATAAAAAGCTCATTATATATCAAAATTCATCAAAATTTCTTTAATTGTAGCTCATACTGTGGCCTAAAATAATGAAATCCTTAGAGGCTGTTTGGCATCCACTTTGTTTTTGTTGTTTTTGTTTCAGGCCCGCTACAGTAGCCCAAATGAAGCCCAAAACATGTTTGGTTGGTGTTCGCGCGGTTTTTGTTCCCTACGCCGGTCGATGGACTCTTCGCGGGCGTGCCAGAGTATTTGTACAAAATACCCAAAATATGTAATTGAACACCAGCCTATCCCTTTTTCCGATGGCTGACTCTCAGGCGATTGTGTGGGAGAGAGACTAGTAAGAACTCCCAACAAGGTTCTTTTATGCCTTGTTTGTAGCAAGGACTTTTTAGAGTGTCTAAAGAAATGCAACGGCTGATGAATGTTTGAATGGATGGAATGGCCGAATGAAGACAGGCGGCAAGAACTTAATCGATCGCCGGCCGAACGTGATGGCGAGAACTTAATCAATCGCCATCAGCCAAACACAATGGCAAGAATTTAATCGATCGCCACTGAAACGTGATAGCAAGAATTTAATCAATTGCCATCAGCCAAGTAATGACAAGAATTTAATCAATTGTCACTACGATTCAATGGCAAGAATTTAATCAATTGCCATTGAATTGAAAGCCTAACTAAAATTGCGTAATTAAAATTGGCATAATTGAAATTGAAATTGAAAGAAAGTAAATGGCTGAATTGAAATAGTTGACAATGATCTAATCAATTGCCATTAAATTGAAATAAAGAAATTGATAGGAAAAAATGACGTAGAGTCAATTGAAAACATTTTTAGTTGAAATGCATGTTTTGTGGTGGTGCTGGACGAATTGGAATACGATTACAACTTTCCTATTTATAAAATTCTTTCTCAACTTATTTTCCTAACTTTTTGCTAGAAAATCTCTCATTCCTTGATTTTCTTCTCTTCGTGAATCAAACTAAGTCAAAACTCAATATATTTCTCCTTATCTTCATGGCTTGCCTTAGTAGGAAATCCTTGCTGAAACCAACTTCCTTGATTTAGTCACATATAAGTTGCCGAGATATTGCTAAAACGTTGCTAGAAAGTTGCTGAAAAGTTGCTAAGTTCTAGCAACTTCCTTTTATAAACTTGGCAGCCGTGTTCTATCCCAAGTGGCCCATCTTTTAGCGCCATGTCAAGGCCACTTGTCACAATTAGATTTGTTCACTTCATGCTGCCAACCTTCTATACATGTCTTCAAAGCTTTCCTTCTTTCATCAAACTAAACTTCCTATTTTATAGGAATTTAGTTATTGAGTTTCATCCAAACTCTAACCTTTTCCTTTTCTGTTAACATCCCATTTTAAAAAAAAGTCAAATATGAGTTGCTATATTTCAGCAACTGCCATATCATTAGGTGGCTGAAATATATCTTTCTATATTTGCTCCTAATATCTTCAAAACTGGCCGATCCATTCTTGGACATGCTCAACCCTTATCGGCTTCCCATTGGTCCACGTCGCTGCTGAGGTGGCTGCCAAGTTTTGGTGCCAACAAATGCCCCCTGAATTTCAAGGGCTTTTATCACTTATGATACGAAGCGTTTGAAATTTGAATCGGCCTAAAATTGTAATTCAAATTTAGTAATAAATCCTTTTCCCAACCACCTGCTTTAATGGTTATCTTTCCCAATTAAAGCGGCGACTACACTAATCCGCTATTACATCCAACAAGTATTTAGCTTGATGTCCTCTAATCCCTAAAATCATTCTTCTTCCCTTAAACTTTCTATCTCTGAAGCTTCTTTCTCGGCAAAATTATTCCTGACGTCTTCTATGGCTCCTAAGAAAACTAAATCAACTGATTCCACCTCTATCCCTCAACCTTCCGATCCTTCAACCCATGGCAACATCATAGAAAAATCCCTAAAAACCCTATCTCCTTACAAATACTGTCTCAATACCCTTATAGATCTTCGTACTGACTTCAAAGGCTTAGGTCCTGCTTTCCTTGACGAAGCTCCTTCATCAATCTCAACTTTCTATCCTTCGGCCGACGTTCTTCCATTCCTTCAAACCTTCCCTCCTAATGAAAATGGCAGTTTGCCACACTTTCATTTTAGAACATGGCATATTCCAAATGATGCTTGGATCAATTGGGTCGACCGGGTTGGAACTGTAAAGGGAGAAGTATGGAAGGATTGTGGCATATATGATGCCATTCAGCTAAGTAAAACTAACATCGCCCAAGACAGGGCCTTGATGATAGCAGCCATGTTTAATTGGTCGACCACCACCAACTCCTTACACTTAAAGTGTGGCATGATGGCTCCAACCATTCAAGACGTGTGCTATCTAACCGGCCTCAAACCATTTGGGATTGATGTAAGTACCTTATTGGTAGAAGAGGATTCTCCTTTCATCTTCCCTTCAAAGCAAACTGGAACCAAGTCATCTGAATCCTCTTATGGCAAATACTTAACTTCCACCATGGATCCTCGCGTCCCTGTGAATGATGCTGAGCATATTGCCTTCTTGTTGGCGTGGCTGAACAAGTTTCTTCTATGCGTACCGGCCTTTCAAGTCACAAAGGATTTCATTCATGTGGCCGTTGCTCTTTCAAGAGGTAAACACCTTGCTCTTGCCCCCTTGGTGCTTTCTCATTTATATAGAGGGATTTATGACTTGCTTACCTCCAACTTCGGACGCTATGGTGGTCCCATCTGGTTAGAACTCGGACCTGTGGTAAGGCCTTCGGCCAATGACCCATTACTTTCTGTAAGTTACGCATCAGCCGTACCTAAATCCCATTCGTTTGGAGATTGCTTCAATTTCTTTTACTCCGGTTGTGAACAGAGGACTATCAGCCAATTTCTTCCATTTTCTCATTGCTCACAAGCTCCTCGATGGCTGACTCCTCCTCAAGGAGTGTCTACCAAAAAATCAGCTGATAAGCATTCGGCCATGTGGGCTAGTTTCTTACTTCCAAAAGATCTTCACTTCAACACTGGCCCTCTAGGCACAGTAAACTCAAAAGTTGGAGTTGAGTTCTACAATCCAAACCAACTTGCTAGGCAATTTGGTCTGACTCAAATGATCCCCATGCCCCCTTATTTCTCTTTCAACAAAAACTTCCATAGGCGTGTGGTATTTCCAGATGACTCCTATGTAAAGAACATGTCCTCCCGGTTCTCAAATCTGCAAGCCGGGTTCCAATTCCAACCCTTCATCAAAAACCCAGCCTCAGATTCTAGTTTTGATCAATGGTGGTCTTCTTACATTACTTCTACAAGGACGGCTGACAGCTAGTCCCTTGTTATTAAAATATTAGAATCTTTCAAGTTCATATCTGTGGCCTTTGAAGGGGCATTCGTAATTTCCCGGGCCGTTACCCCAAAGAAGATGCCTCAAAAAGATCCTCCCAAAGATAAAAAACAAACGGCCAAGAAACTCCCTTTCTCTCAGCCAACAGATGCTCCAACAAGGACCAATAAAGAGAGAAAAGCCAAGGCCAAAGCCACTGTCAGCCTCCTCAAGGGTACAATCTTCCTTTACTTGCATATATATATATATATATATAAACTTTTAATTGAATTTCTCTTACCCCCCTTTTTTTTTTTTTTGCAGATTCAGACAGTGGAACTTTATCAGCCTCGCCTAATCTAGAAAACGTTGAGCCCCAAGATGATGAAATTTCCTCAAGCCAACCTCCTCAGCCTACAATAACTGAATCAATCATCATCCCTAATGTTCCTCCAGTTCCTCCAAAGGTAAAAGTTTTTATCTATTAACATATGAAAACAATCATATCGGCCCAATTATTAAAATTCTTGGCCGATATTGACTTCTAATTCTCGGCCACAACTATTATTGGCCGAAACAAACTTTAATAAAGCTTCCATCTCCAGGGGAAAAGAAAGAAATCAACTGCTCATGGCACTTTAAAAAGAACAAGATTGAGCAAACGTAAGAAACAGGAAGTGGAAGAAAATCTAGAAAGCCTTCATCCTACAGAAGACGTGGCCGATGACCCCGTAATTAATGTGACTGACACTCCTTCTGATCATTCCTCAGATGAAAAAGAGGTAAAGATAACTGTACTTGAAATTTCCAAACTTTTCAATTAATATGGTCCTTAATTTCTTCTCTTTTGCAGCAAT